GCAAAGAATCTGAACAGGTCGATCAAATATGATTTACACAAGATAAGGAAAAGGTTCTTAGATGCTACAGGGATCCTGAGATCACTACTTTACAAGCTCATTCCCACAGAGGACAACCAGGTGTTATCAAGTTGGGCTGAAGAGACCAATTGTGATCGATATTATGTTCATGAAATTACTGTGGCTACTCAACAAACAAATGAGCCCTTTTCATTCAAAAGATTGGCTGTGTCTGATCATTTTACTAACAATGATGTTGAGGACAAGGTTTTGTCATATGAAAATCACAGCTCAACTCTTGTGAACATGTTTCAGACATTAACACTCCCCGAATTGAGAAGATCGGAGGTAAGGAATTCTTTTATGGAACCACAATACATAGTAAAAAATAGCAGGATACTCACAATGTCAGTGTATATTTGCAACCGCTAATATTTCATTACCACATTATAAATTGAGCAAGCTCACTCGTTAGGCTAACAGGTTGATACAGGTACCAAACCATATTGGATAAGCTCGAAAGAGAACAGGCAGCAGTACAGCAAAGGATCAGGATGGAAGGAACCATTACCCAATGCAGGTTCTACACTTTCACCAAATCAGAAAAGAAAAAAAAGAAAAAAGTATTAACATGTATCTGTTAATTTTAACTAGCTTTATTTAATTGTAATTAAAAAATCCAGAAGCCCCAGTACGAGTAATTCCTCTTCCGAGTTTGTCCCAGAAACTTGTTAGAGACCCCGTGTTCTCAACCTATCTGAGAAAGCTAATGGTGAACTCAAATATTTTGAAATTTAAACGAGCAAAAAAGAACAAACTAGAGGAGATGGTTGAGACCGCTTCTCTATGCCCAAGTAACACAAGGATCCTGCAGAAGAGGGAGCAGCTTCCATTTCACTGTGTACAAAAAGAAAAAGAGTTTCGTAAAAATGAAGGTAAAGGTCTTTCAATCAAAGCAGTTTCAGAGCCAGAAAACCTGCTGAGTATTATACATGAGCATTTTAACTTGTTGGAGGAACAATATAAACGAGTTAAAAAGATCAGCCATCTGTTACATACAGAATACTCTGTCACATCATCGCAAGAGTGGAAAAGCTTCCAAATTGTAGATTGGGAGATACACATGGAGATAGGGGATGCTATCATGGATGACATTGTCAGGGAAATAATTGATTCATTTTAATCAGCCCATGTTCATAGGAAGCATACTCGCTTGTGAGGCTTGGTTTACTTTAACACCGCCATTGAATGGATTAACATTCAAAAATATCAAGGATCATGTCTCTAGCCTAATTCAGTCTTGGAGATTTCATATGCACCTCATTTTGACACATATTATCGTTTAATTTGTTTGATAAACTATCTATCAATTTAATTCGAAAACATGCGCATCACAATGCGCTTTAAGTCTTTTAGCTTGATTTATGCAAAAGTCAAGACGCTTTTTTGGAGAAGAAAAAACCGATTATATTGAGAGTGATTAGATTTTTTTGTTTATTCTTCCTTAAAAACTGACACATGTTTGCTTTTGCTGATATTTTTTAAATTTTAAATTCATTTTTTTAATCAATGATGTATATATTTTGGTGATTTTAAATTTTATAATTTTACTTATTTTGAAAAATATATTTGTTTCAATTTCTAGTTTTTAAATGATACACCAATATAAAATAGAAAATTTGATTTCTGTGCTGAATTAAACTGAATGAGGAGGTGTATTGGATTGGAATTTCAAAAGATTAATGGATTATTTTTGGTCAAAAAAATTCAGTGGCATTTAATTAGGATTTTAAAGAATTAAAAAAGTCACTGTTATTTGATTAGGATTTTAAAAGATTATTTTAGAATCTGTCCAAATCCGTTGATATTCAATCAGGATTTCAAACAAAAGAAAAACAATAATGTGGTATTTAAAAATATGACGATTTGTTATAAAAAAAAAATAAAAAAAATATGACGATTTTAATGAATTTTCTATTGATATAGATTTTGTTAGATTTTTTAGTGAGAAATATAAATATGATGCATCTCTCACAAAGCTCGAAACCGGGTTGACTTGCTCGAAACTGAGTTCCGCCATTAGAGCTTTGTCAAAGCTCAAAAGTAGTAGATTTTTGGGCAATTTTCATCACAAAACAATACAGGAACAACAAACCAACAAGATTATAAAATAATCCATCTCAAAAACAACAGATGTTTGAGCGATTTTTTAGAGCTTTTGGAAATTTTAAAAAAAAAATTTCAAGCCATGAGTCACAATTTTTCTTGGCACAAAACGATGTGATTTTTGTATTAAAAACAACATATAACATTAGGAAAACAACACGGGAACTAAAACACTCAAACCAATTTTCGTTTTACATTATTGAAACAATATCAATTTAAATAAAGATTGAAATCTTCATAACATGAATCCTATATTTCGTAACAAACTAACAATACATTCATGAACAAAATTCCTTCACTATTGGAAATAATTTCAAATAATTTTTGTACCAATAGATAACTAACAACTTGTTTTTCAAAAACTCAAAAGCAATTTAAAGTTTCAATGAATCGATTGAAAATAATTTGAGAAATTTTCTAAAGTTTCATGTAATAAAACCCAGAAATTGAAATTCAAAATTTTCTTAGAATACTCAATGAAAACATGAATATACAGTTAAAAAGCTCTCATCACGTAGAACAAAAAACCCAAGATTTCCAAGATTAATTGTAAAAAATTTCAAATGATATTTTATCATGAACTTTAGGTTCTATTTACAAATTTAAAATTATTTTAACAAATAAAAAATTGGGTCTTATAATCATATTTGCATAGCTCTGATATCAAATGAAGAAGATAATTTTCAACCCATTGGTTAAACCCAAAAGCAAGAACGAGAAAATGCTAATATGTGGAAGACTAGTATGACTTTAGATATGTGGAGAGCTATTGCTTAATAACTTTGAATGTTTGTTAAAAAATATATTATATTTTATTGATTGAGAAAATTATATTAGATTTTATTTTTTTATTAATATTATTGTATTTCTTTGTTTTTTTTATTGACTTTTGTAATTTTGAATATTTGTTAAAAATTCATATGATTTTTTTTAAAATCTTATAAATCCATATTATCCTTTCAAATTTTATAAATTCTATTAAAATTCAATTTTATAAAATCTCAATTGTAAGAAAAGTCTTTTAAAAAAAGTCTTTAAAATCCCTCTAATTTTAAATAATCTTTTAAAATTTATAAAAAATTGTATCACAAAAAATATATTTTAAAATCCTAATACAATTCACCTCTTAAATAAAGAGATTCAAATAATAACATGCCATTTGATATGTGGTAGTAATTTATATAATTTGGCTTTTTGACCTTTTTACCCTTCATTAATTAATTAATAATTATTTTAATCCTTATTCAAAACTATCTACCAATCTGTCCCTTTTTAATATATTAACTTGAAGATTTAATCGATTAAATGATCAAAACTGACAAAAATGGTTGACTTGAAGATTTAATCGATTAAGTCTTCTTGGGATAGATAATAATGAGTACATGTATTCAAATGCAATAAGAATTCACCTTTGAATACTATACTTCCTAAACGTTGAACTAGGCTTTTTCTGAAATACTTTCAAGAAAAAAAGAGGACTTTTCCCACTTCCTGATGACAAAAGCCTCTTTTTTAGTGCTATTACTTAGATCTCTCCACCACATACCATTAGTCCCCAAAGTCCTCTTTTTCTTCTTGAGGGGGTGTTTGGTTGAGGAGAATTTTTTTGAATAATAGGAAAATGTAATTGATAGGGAAATGGTTGGAAACTTAGTTTGGTAGAAAAATATAAAAAAAGTTGTTTGGTTGAATATAAAATATTGATGGGAAATTATTCTGAATTTACGAAACTATCCTTTTATTAAACATTGCCCTCTATGCCAATACTTGTCCAAACGGTAATAGTGAATTTTCAACAAATCACGTAACAGTGAATTTTGCAACTTATCCGATTTTTACAAATAATACCACCGTCCAAAAAGCATTCCGTAACAGTGAATTTTCAACAAATCACGTCTAATTCAAGTTAGATAGGCAACGATGAAAGCTAGATAAAAAACATAAAATCGGAGAACCAAACGTGGATTAATCAGAATGCAGGCAACCTTGTTCATCGTTTAGGAAGCCTAGTATTCAAAGGGATGGGTCTAAAGTTTTTGTTCAGATGGAGAAATCGGACGTCAATCAAGAGGTGGATTTTTATTTCATTTGAATACATGTACTCATTTTCCAAGAAGATTTAATCGATTAAGTTGAATAATTAATCGATTAAATCTTCAACTCAATTATTTTTGTCTGTTTTGACTATTTAATCGATTAAATCTTCAAGTTAATCAATTAAAGAGAGGCAGATTAGTAGATAATTTTGAATAAGGGACAAAATAATTATTAATTAATTAACGAAGGTAAAAGGGTCAAAAAGTCATTTTTTTACACTTATAAGATGAGTTCGACTTGGTTTAATTTGATTTTCTATCCCAAACTAAATTCAACTCGTAAAGTGGTTGGATTTTTCGAATTGAATCGGTTTTAAAAAACAACGTGATACAGAAATTGATTTAGAAAAAAAATTGTAAAATATTTTTCTCAAGTTGTATAAGAGAGGAATATTTTTCTACACTTATTTAGTCACATTAATAATTGAACTACTATTTTTTTCTTTTTCTTTTTCTTGGTAGACTCCACAACAATTATACGTGAGTATAGAAAAATATTTCATTCTTATGCAAATAGAGAGTAATATTATACAAAAAAAATTTGGATGTTAAAACTTAAACCAATAAAAAATATAATTTGTTGGACGCGGTTGGATTGTGTTTATGGATCGATTCCATTGATTTGATTTTTTTGGCACCCGTATTTTATTTTATTTTATTGCTCGTGCTTAATCGAAATAAAACTTATTATGGAAATATAGGCGTCTCGATCAAAATCCGAAAGCACAACACAAGCAGTGTCTAGACAATAGACATGGTTTGGTTGGTTGTCCAGATGTGAAATTCTCCAACCTTCTGGAATTGGCCATCGATTCGACTACTACAATTATACAAATCCCCAATCATGTTCTCTTTTCAACATCTCCCATGGCAATGGCTACTCTTTCCCTTCTTTCCTATTCTTCTTTCATTGCCAACACTAACACTAACAACAGGAGCAACTTCCTTTTCCCTCTTCATTCAAAAACCCATACCCATACCAATACCAACCTTTCATTTTCTTTCTGCTCCAAACGCACTTCCCTCAGCCTCAGGTCCTCCCTCAAAGACCAACAAGAAACCGACTCTTCCTCCTCCTCCTCCCCTTCTACCACGGTTGCCGATGTTCCTGAGAATCCGAGCAACGATGAAGATTCTACTAAGAAACAACAGGAGCAGGAACAGGAACAGGAAATGGATTGGAAAACGGACGAGGAGTTTAAGAAATTCATGGGCAACCCTTCTATTGAAGCTGCAATAAAACTAGAGAAGAAGAGGGCTGATAGGAAGCTTAAGGACCTTGACAGGGAATCCACCGATAACCCTATTCTCTCTCTTTTTAACACCTTACTGCGTAATAATTTGACCAACGAAATGGAGAGACTGCAAAAGGCTGAAGAAACTTTCAGGGCTCTTGATCTTAACAAGGTATTATATTTATTATTCTTATGAATTTGTATATTAAATTATAGGGAAAAGTTCGGCACACGTGGTTTGTTTTAAAATCATCTGTGGTTTTTTTTTTTTTTTTTTTTTTGGTACATAGGTGGTTTTGTTTTTATCACATGCTTCTGTGCTTTATAAAAATTAAAAAATCACGTGGGTATATCTGATAAAAAATATATCATTTTACAAATCAGGACATATGTAAAAAAAAAAATCACAATGACATAAACATAAGTGATTCTGGAATAAATTAGAGTAGTATTGGTTAATTTTTCCCTAAATTATACTACTTTTTGTCTTTATATAAACGTTGTAATTATGTTACTTATTTGAGGTGATGCAGTTAAAGAGTTGCTTTGGGTTTGACACGTTTTTTGCAACGGATGTTCGAAGATTTGGAGATGGAGGCATTTTCATTGGGAATTTAAGGAGACCCATTGATGAGGTCATCCCCAAGTTGGAGAAGAAGCTCTCTGATGCAGCCGGCCGGGAGATTGTCTTATGGTTCATGGAAGAAAAAACAAATGACATTACCAAACAGGTACTTTCCTATGATATTGACATCTAATTTTGCAACCTATTTTATATCTGCCAACCATATGAATGTTTAAATTCTTAGCTTCGTAGTCACTTTCGCAGTTCTACAACGTGAACTCTCACTGATACATTTACAATTGCTGGAATGGTCATTGCGAAAAAAAAAATTGTACATTCAGGTTTGTATGGTCCAACCCAAAGCAGAAATGGATCTCCAATTTGAGTCAACTAAGCTGAGTACTCCTCTGGGCTATTTTAGTGCAATTGCATTATCCGTTACTACCTTTGGAACAGTTGCTCTGATGAGTGGCTTCTTCCTTAAACCTGGGGCTACATTTGATGACTATCTAGCTAATGTTGCGCCTCTATTTGGTGGGTTCTTATCCATTCTGGGAGTTTCTGAGGTAAGTTATATTTCAAGATTTCCAACAAACCTGACAGTTTATCCCATATTATGTTCTGATTCTGATTTAATATGTCCTTAATGATAATCTTCTTTTAACTGATAAATACTTGTTTATCTTATAATAAGAAAGAAAATGCACAAAAAAATGGCATAAAAAAAAATCTGAAAAGTTCTCTTGGTACATAATGTTTTTTGTAGTTTATTGGATAGGCATATCATCTTTAAGGGACATAGTGGCCGTTGCTCAATTTTCTATGTTAGGGTTGTGTAGTGGTTAAATATACAGCCTCCAGACACAAGCATGATGCATGTTTCTGTGTGTATTCATGCTAATTATCTCAAAAGATTTTTGTGGCCACTGTTTTTACAAGTGTATATCATGCATGATAGTCATCTTTGACATTCAATTTATTCTATGGCTATGTTGTTTTCATTGTGTAGATAGCCACCAGGGTAACAGCAGCTCGTTATGGTGTTAAACTCAGCCCTTCTTTTCTGGTGCCATCTAATTGGACTGGGTGCTTAGGAGTGATGAATAATTATGAATCCCTCCTCCCGAACAAGAAAGCTCTTTTTGATATTCCTGTAGCCCGCACTGCTAGTGCATATTTGACTTCATTAGTGCTTGCTGTTGCTGCCTTTATAGCTGATGGAAGCTTTAATGGGGGCGATAACGCATTGTGAGTAGTGTATATATAGTACCTTCTGAAGGTTTTTTTTTTTGGGTCAAGAAGAAAAGGAAAGGAAACTAAACTTGATTAATTATTAAGTGAAAAATTGTTTGCTGGAACCACAACTTTATGATCAACAAATAGCTTTATACAAAAGGCCTATGATACGAGGTCAAGAATTACATGGTTATGAAAAATATTACCTGAGTATAAGTTGAAAATGGCATATAGTCAATGCTGAATAAATTTAAGAAGGCTAAACTGAGATATATTGCGGTATAACATTGGTCATACGAGTTCTATGCATTACAATTTACAGCAATAATAATATAATATGGCCAGCATGTTCAGTGGACATTGTTGCCTCATATTGGCCATATGAGTTCGATGCATTACAGCAATTATACGGCCAACATACTCCATGGACATCATTTCTCATGATTATGACTTTCTAGTGCTTATTTACTTGCAGGTATATACGGCCTCAATTTTTCTATAACAACCCCTTGCTTTCTTTCATCCAATTAGTTATTGGGCCTTACACGGATGATCTTGGAAATGTGTTGCCTTATGCCGTGGAAGGTGTTGGAGTTCCTGTTGATCCGCTTGCGTTTGCTGGGCTTTTAGGTGGGTTTGTTGTGATTTCTATCCTTGTCTTCACTTTTTGAAAAGAATGATCCAGTATGCAAGTCTACATGTTTTGGAACCTAAGATCTAATAGTTTTTAAATATCCAGGTTACTTGTTTGACCGATTATGGCAAATGTTCATGAATATGGTTAAATTGGATGATTCAACAGTTTTCACTTCTAGGGAAACTAGCAATTATTTCTGATATTAAATTATTAATATCTAGAACGATTTAGATGCCAACACTTAAGTTACAGCTTTGACTTTTTAAAAGTTTTTCCTTGCCAAATTTTAGCCCTGTATGTTAGTTAGCCTGAACTTGTAGGAGAATGGTAATAGCAGATTTTGGTTTTACATTCTATTTATTAGGTGAGAAAGTGGTTGGAAAACGCCACTTTGGATTAAGATGGCTAAACAATTTAATGGTTATACAGGCATGGTGGTGACTTCCTTGAACTTGTTGCCGTGTGGGAGACTAGAAGGAGGCCGGATTGCTCAAGCCATGTTTGGCAGAAGCACTGCTGCACTGTTATCTTTCGCCACTTCATTGTTGCTTGGTATTGGTGGCCTCAGTGGTAGTGTTCTGTGCTTGGCATGGGGATTGTTTGCAACCTTCTTTAGGGGCGGGGAAGAAATTCCCGCAAAAGACGAGATCACCCCTCTTGGAGAAAGCAGATATGCTTGGGGTATTGTCCTTGGCCTTATCTGCTTTCTCACACTTTTCCCTAATGGTGGAGGGACATTCTCCAGTCCATTCCTCAGTGATCCATTTTTCAGGGGCCAAATGTAAATGATTATGTACACACACGTATTTGACGTCTCACTAGATATCTGTAAATGTAATTATGTATATTTATTTTACATCTTTTCACTAGAACTAGAATGATCATTATGTGAAGATCGAGCTATGTTTCCTTGTCATAATATAATCATAATCAAGAATTCAATATGGTCAATGGTAATCGTAATCGCAGATGACATTAAATGTCGAAACCAGCGTGGAAATCACAAGCTCCCAAGCATTTCTTCCCACTGCTCCTTATAAGGAAAATTAAAATTTTATTATTATTACTACTGCTGTTATTATATTTCTTTTGAATGAATGACCAAATTTAATTTTATTAATATGAGAACATATTCTGTCTAGGGTGGCGCTGCTGAATGTGGTAGGAAATTTTTTTTACAAGAAATGCAAAAAAAAATAGTTAAATTAATTATCTAAAGATATGATATTGGTATAAATTTTTGAATCATGAAAACTATCAAGCGTATTTTCATTGTTTATCTATGTATTAATTTAAATATATACTCGTATGAACACTAAAATTTTAAACAAATTTGCGATGCTCTTTTGGTAGTTAGGTGTATTGTTTGAGAGAGGGGGAGTTATGCCATTCTCAGTGACAGTTAAATCAGCTCCTCTTGCGTTCTTTCGCTCTTCCCTTAATCTTGATTCTGTTTCCTTTCGTGCTTGCCGAATCGCCCTTCCTCCTCGTCACGCTTCTAGTCAACGTGTCTCCAATTTCTCTCAGCCTCAGCCTCAGCCTCAGGTGAACACTTCATCAATTCGATTTTCCTATTCATGATTCGCGCTTTCTGTTATAATTACAATCGAATTCGTTTCAGGGCGGCGGCAGTAATTTCATCCATGACCCTCGCGCGTGGAGTGACGACGACGACGAAAACGATGAGGATCGGAGTTTTGATCTATTGGTGAGGTTCGTTCAGAATGTGTTCAAGAAGGTGTCAAAGAGAGCGAGAAAAGCAATTCGATCTGTTCTCCCTGTCCCCATCTCTACCAAGCTGGTACGACTAGCTTAATACTCACTTATTTACATATTTGTGTGAAGTGATTTTCATTCTACATGCTCCAAAATGCATAGCTTCACTTTTTTTTTATCATCCCTCTTCCGTTCCTTATATACCCCCAACTTCAACCTTTCGTCGGAAAATGTCGAATAGGTTTCTGTAATGCAAGTTAATATATTATGTGCATTTGTATATCTTCTCTTGCATAGTATTCAGCTTCTGAAGATTTATGCTTGTGTTAATTCAGATACTTGAATAACGTGGTCATTGGTTACTTTGTTTTTAAAACACCTGATCTGGCGATTCTAAGCTGCAAGTTATGATTATCACTACCGGATTTTTTATTTTTCGGGGGATTAAACATCACTTCTATTACAGGTGGGATTTTCTGTAAATGGGGTCCTTGTGCTGGCATGCTTGTGGATTTTGAAGGCATTTCTTGAGGTATTGTTTTCATTCATTTACAATGGGCATGAACATTGTTAACATCATTACTGAATGCCATTTCTAGAAGAAAAGAAAAAAAATCCAACCTTTAGCATATTTTATGCTTACGACAGGCTTTATTTCTTTTGGGCATTTAATGATACTTTTGGAGACCTGCATGATTATAGTTAGGAGTTTTTTGCATTCTGTACTGATAGCATTGTGGAGTTTTACCTGTTTAGCTGTTTTTAACCTTAGTTCTCCTAGCTTTTATTGCTGAGCAGAAAAAGGTTCTTCATGACCTTTGGTTACTACTTTCAAAGCGCCATACAGAACACGAAATAGGTCAAGCACGCACACTCACAGTGAGTTATTCATAAGCTTTTAATGTCAAGCAAATAAAGCTTAAGCTTCGCTTTGACAAATCAAGCTTGAATAGGTCAGAATAACTCAATTCATTCGCGCCCTTTTGCTCCAATGCCCACCCTAAAATATGGGGTTGGGGATAGCCTTTTAATCACAGCAAGTCAAGGTCCTAACCACAAGAAAAAAACTTGTAGCATATCCTTATGAAGTTTTTCTCCAGGCAACATTTGGGTACATAATACATTATTGAACTGAATTTGGATTTGATTGTTGTTTATGTTGCACTTTACTTGATTTCCATAAAGAACTGTGAAAAATCTAAGTGCTTGACTTTGTTGAAGCTTTTGTCACACTTTCAGATTGTTTTTGTTAAACAACATTTTCTTAGAAATATGACAAGGTGAAAGACCAACGGTTCAGAGATCTCAGTGCAAAATTGATATCTAATATGTGGCATCAGTTTATTTTATGCAGGCAGGATTTGTTAAAGTGTAATGGTGATGAATTTTGCCAATTGATTTTTGGCATGGAGTGAAAAATACATCTATTCTTATTCTTGAGTTTTAGTTGCTAAAGATTTTGGCTTTGTAGTACCTGGAGCAGCTATTCACCGATTTCTTCTGAACTTGTTCTACTCACCTTAAACATTTTGGTACTGATATATTTAGTATAATTCAATGCAGGTGGTATGCACACTTGGAAGTGTAGTGTTTGTAAGCATCTTATTAATCCGTGGGATATGGTCTGGTGTTAGTTTTTTACAAGAAAGCCGAAACCAAAAGATGGATGAATTTGATGTAGAGCACAATGCATGGAATGGTGCGCAGCCTGTGACTTGAATTGTTCATTGACTCATTCTGAAGACATGCCCCGTTAAAGTTAGGGAAGTTAAATTAAGGTAATAAAACAGGAACTAAAGGAAAAAAAAAAAAAAAAAAAAAAACCTTTACACTGCTACTGTAAGCATTCCTTGCTGCAATTCTGACTGGTTGTGTAACAAAGTAGCTGCGGAACAAGATTCCTGTAAGGTATTTATGGTGTAGAAAACGTTTAGAAGCAAGAAAATTGATGGCTCAAGTCAAGTGTATGTACCGAAACCCATTCATGATTTAGTACACTCAATTTTGTCCGAGTTTTTTTTTTTCCTAATTGAAAAAAAAAACAATAAATGATAATAAAAATTACCAAGGAAAAAGAATTTAAAATAAAAGAAAGTGACAAACTTGACCTATTGTCATTGAAGTATCTCAAGTTCCGCGTAGGAGAAATTATGCTTTTTTATCTTCTCATTTTCCTATATTAACATCTGCATGTGTTTAGATCGTTTGAGAAAATAATACGTTTAGTTTTAATACTGTACAAGGCAATTGTCGTATTAAAATCTTTCAATGAAGAATTGCGACTTGATTTTAGAGAAGTATTTGTGAAGTATGCTTTGTCGTTTTTAAGATATGCCTTTTTTTTATTAGTAATTGTTTATTTATTTTATGATGTTCATATTTTTTTATTATGTTAGTTTACATATTAATAAATTAAGAATTTCTTATTGTTACATATGTTCTATCTTATGAAAAAAATAAAAAATACTAAAAATTAAAAAAAAAACGAATTATTAATTAATTAAAGTTAACTAACTCAAACTTGTTTATTTTCTAAATAACAATGAGTTGAGTTTTGATTACACGTAGAGTGGGAGTGATCTCATCAAATTAAAATTAAATTATCTTGATTCAGTTTTTATAAATAATTTTACATGTTCGAATTCATTATATCATTAAGAAAATAAATATTTTTTAAAATTTATTAGTAGTTTATGCAATTAATTTAAGGAAAAATATATATATTATTTTAAATGACACAAAATTATGACATTTTGGTGTGTTTTTAAATTTTTTTATTTCTAATTTTATAAATCAAAGAAAATGAAAAAACACAACAAAATGACATAATTTTATTAAAAATAGTACAAAATTATATTATTTAAAATGACAAACTTTAACTTACCAAAAAAAAAAAATGACAAACGTTAATCTTGTACAAAATCCAATGTTAAATTCAATTTCATTTTAAAAGGGGCCCTTCTTTAGTAAAAGATTTTTTCTAATATTTTTTAAATTAAATAATTGTTGACGGTGGTGACCTTTAGTTTTTTTTTTTTTTTTTTTAATTTCTTCTTAGGTTTGGATCCCGTCATTTGTTAGGTTAGGTTAAAATTTTCTTCTTCCCAGAAAAAAAAAAAAGAAAAAAAAGAAAAAAATTTCCTTCTTGGGTAGGTTCCCGAATATTTACTCAAGTTCATATACTATTATTCCCGAATTCTCGCAATTGCGAAATTTAATCTCTCCGTCGTTGTTCTGTAACAGTCAATCCAACATCACTGCCGCACCAGGTACGCAGTCTTCTGCTTGTAGGTTCACAGAGCATTCAAATTAGAACCATGTTAAACTGTTTTCCTTTTAGAACCAAACCATAGCTTGTATTCTCTCCTGTCCATGTTAAAGTTAATTTGATTTCATAAAAGAATAAAAAATTAAATTGATTTTATGTTTTAGATTATGCTGTGGGTTTGAATGTTCATCTCAGGATTTGGTAGAACATGTTTGCATCTTGTGACATTGGCTGTGCCTAATTTTGTTTCTCTTCCACTGGTTGTCAAGATGCTTGAAATTTGATGCACTGCATGCCTCCTTTTGGTTAGATTTTTAACTATTTGAGTGTCCAAGTGAAAATAATGATAATAATTATTTAAAGCAATTTTACGCGTGAATGCTATTAGATTGGAAACGATTTTTTTTCTCCTTTAAATCCTAATTTTCTAGGATTCTTTCTAGAAAATTCCAGCAGAATGTCAGTAGGATGGCATACGTAGGATTATTTGGGGGTCCTCCAATTACTGCATTTTAATTTCCTTCATTTCAATTTTATTTTTCTTAGATTTCTAAATTTTCTTTCAAAAACACTCGTGAAGGACTACACTAGTGTCTTCCTCTTCTATAGCTGAGACACCCATTACATGATTGTTCCATACTAAATCAAAAGCTTTGAATTTTATTACATGTTCTGTATAATAAAATGCAGGATCTTGCAGGAACATATAAAAAATGATTCTTCTCAAAGACGTTGTGCCTGCAGCTCAAAACAACATTGACACTAAATTTATACTTCTAGAGAAAGGCAGGACAACACTAGAAGGGCAAAATAAGATGTGCTTGGCGCTTGTAGCTGATGAGACAGCAGCTGTTCATTTTCAGCTTTGGGGAGATGAGTGTAATGCTTTTGAACCAGGAGACATAATTTATCTGACAAATGGCATCTTTTCCTACCAGCGCAACAACCTTATACTAAGGGCAGGCAAGAGAGGGAAGATTGAGAAGATAGGAGAGTTTACTATGTCCTTTGTTGAGACGCCAAACATGAGTGAGATTCATTGGATTCTTGACCCAAGTAATTCTAAGAAGTATATCCAGGAGTATGTAATATCTCCCCAATCACGCATGTTCCCTCCGATTCTGTAAAAGTGATGTGCACTTTGACTTACTGCAAAATTTACCCTGTCAAGTCTATAGCTTGTTTCAGATAAACCTACCTTTGTTTAAGCAAATTTTTCACTATGCCTAAAGGAAGGCAATGTTTTTTATTTTATTTTATTTTATTTATTTTGTTGTTGTGATAGAATGCATTCTTTAGATGAAAAATTGCTGACAACTGCACTGGCCTCCAAGGCTTCTTGGTTTTCAATTGCGTTGGTGGTGGCACAAGTTCCCTTCTCTTGATTATGGCAAGAAACCAAAGATGGGAATGTTGTTGCTGTCACCATCAAGAGCAAGGGGACCATTTAGTCTGTTGGTGCCCTGCTGGTTTGAAGAGTTGTTCCTGGGGTGACCTTGCTAAGGTGCAGATGGCAGTTTATATGGTTTCAAACTCCACTAGTATCAGAATGGCTGAAGTCTTCGAGCGCATTGACCACGAGTTTGACCTCGTGTATGCCTCACCTGAGAATCAGGATGAGAATGACCAAGGAAATGAATACTAGAATCTATATCAGATTGTTCTTGCATTCTGTTTTCTTTCACGCCAAGTTGAGTCTTACTGGTTTGTTCCTTTGAAAACATTGTCTGATACCTTGTTATGAATCTGGACATGATTTATAAAATCTAATTCAAACAATCTGTATTGTTCTTGCATTCTGTTTTCTTTCACGCCTAGTTGAGTCTTACTGGTTTGTTCCTTTGAATACTGTAATATTGGTGTATATAAAATGTGACCCATGGAGGGTGAAGTATATTGATATAGGGGGTGTCCATAGTGGCTTTGGTAGAGACCAAAGCACTAGTGGAGCTTCCCATGGTGTGAATTAAGGGGGGGTGTGGAAGTGGCTGGGAATGGAGGAGCCGAAGCCCCATCCTCAATGTGAGAGGGGGTATTTAGAATGGGAGCCCCAGTGAACCTAGCCAGCCTAGCCTGAACCCCCACCAGCCTGAAAAGGCTAGGCATGCTGAACCCCTGCCAGTGTGCATAGGCAGCCATGTACATGGGGGAGAAGGATAATCCTATGTTGTCTTCTAGAAGTGGGCTTTTTAGACTGGGCCCAGCAGCGGTTGGGCCTACGTAAGTGAGCTATCCAGAACAAATACATTGTTTGATACCTTGTTATGAATCTAGACATAATTTATAAAAGTAATTCATTATCAAATATTTATCTGATACCTTGTTCATTCATGCACGCTGCTAGGCCTGAGAAGTCTTTGTTAGAGGATTAATATAGACTTCATACAAATAATTCATGGTCACAGAAATTTCTTTGGAGCAGTTTATGATCATTTAGAATTCGACTCAAAGTATGACCATCGAACATAAATAGCTTGCTCCTGATAGTTTTCTTTTTCTTGTTAAGATCTATGATGCACCGACATGGGATACGACACGATATGACACGCCGACACGTTAATTCTAAAAAATGTCATATTTCAACATGTTAGGACACATTTTGATATTAAAAAATATTTTTAATATATATAATATAATTTATATTTAATACATAAAATAATTCACAATAAGTCATATAACCAATTAAATATTTAAATTTTATAACATAAATATAAAGCAAAAGTAATTTTTCATACCATGTTAATTTTTTATGTCAAATTCCAGAAGAGAAAAAAGTTGACTTATAAATTAATTTTTCATTTTTAATTAATAAAGCAAAAATTTAGACCTTAAAAAAAAAATGTCGGATGCGTGTCAAAACGTTGACCACGTGTCAGAAAAAATTGACCGCGTGTCAAAAAAACGTGTCAGAGCGTTAATCACGGTGCCAAAATATTGAGCGCATGTTGAAACGTGTCATGTCCCACACATAAATTTATTTTAAAATCACTTGTCGGTGCATTGGAGGTTAAGATGCTCAGTAAGTAACATTTCATCACACGCATCGTCCTGAAGGTGTAAAACCTTCGTTAGTTGTCAAATATATGCATTCATATATATATATATATATATATAAAACTAATGCTGCTCCTAATGGGCTTTCATCTTATTTAAATTATATAATATGCGCAAAATGGAAAGGACGGATCTTGAGAATTGAGTCAATGGAGATGAATGCAAAGCAAAATCAATAACAAAGTTCTTCGTGGGTGATATATTACAAAATGAAATAAATCAACGGAGGCTAAGGAAACATATATTTATGCAGCAGCATTCCTACTAGAGCTAAGCATGTAAAATGTTGCCACTAATTTAGCCGAGGTGCCATCTGTGATATCCTTTCATCTTCCAGTAGTTCATAAGGGTCCACATACTGGGGAGGTGATAAATGTGAACTGCTTGCATCGTGGACAAATGTTGGCCCCAAATACTGCAATAGACATTAAAGAAAATTGGTCAAAGTCATCATGACATAAATGTACAAGAAATATATTTCCTTAAAAGGTTTTACTTCTCCTATGTAGTAGTAGAGAAATTATCTTATATTATGAGATAAATAAAATGGAGCCTACCAATTTTTAAAAAAAAAAAGAAAAAAGAAGAAAAAAAAGAAGTACATCTGAGTGTAACATGAGAGATAAATCTTATGTAAGATAAAAGTATAATTTCCCTTCTTTAAAATCATCAATTCACAGTTGCAATGATACCCTAATGGATATGGTATCCGAGTCATGTTGTGAAGTATTTATAATAAATGTTTAGACGTCTTTTAAATATAACCAACAAACAATAAATGTTTAACAATTCAACTTCATGGATATTGGAGTTATCTCTTAAAATATGTCATACAGTGAAGTCATGCCATATAAAATTTGTGGCCTAGTATTAAAATACAAAACCACAGGGAACACGAGGAAAATGTAGAAAATTATGAAATCTTCTAGCTGCTCCCAAAATTTGATGCAAAATTATTCTCAGTAAAATGTGAGTTTTGTTAGTTACAACATTGATTGTGGACTATAACAATTAACACGGCCTAGTGAAGCAAATTAAAATAGAAAAACTGAAAAAGGGAAAGAGAGGAGTGCACCAATTACAAATATCACTTAAGTACTAAACTATTAATCAATGACCTCAGTTCTAAATAAAAATCGAAAGTGGAAGTTGACACTATTGATTTAAACATGTCATCTTTGCAAATATAGTTTGCCAATTTAAACTCCGGTGGTCATGTTCTGTGCACCAAATTTTTATGTTGTTTAACAAGAAGCAACTTAATACTTGAAAGAAAAAAACATGGTATCATAGTACAAATAAGATAGCTAAGATAATATATACGTCACTTAACGTGCAATAAATATGCTCTGATAGGACAAATAAAAAGAAAAACTTGTAAACTTCAATTCAAAGGAAAATAGCTTACGAAGTAGAGTGCAGAAAAAGATGCAACAGTTATGAGGATCAATGGCCAAAATCCCAAGAAAAATGTTCCTCCAATCGTCAACAAAAGTTTAGCCCGAGGGACCAAGCCCTGAAATAGATAAATACATAAAGTTCACTTTTATGTTATGCAGTGCTACAACTGCTACTAGCACTGTCAATAATATAAATATTCAATGCAAAAGAATATGCAATAATATCAACACTGACTTTACATATGCCTCATATTTGTCATCATCAATTCATCATCATCATTACCACAAAGGAGTACTTGCTCGACATTGCTTTCTCCAGATTTGAAAAATTATTGATCTAGTTACTGGTGTTACTCATCAACGAAATACAAACCTATAACTACTGCTATACTTGATGACACATAAAACAGTATACAAGTGTTTCAGGTATGACAATGAATGAAACTTTCCTTGTTACCAATTATAACTGAGCTCTGTTGTACCCACAATGGAATGCATGATGGATTAGTAGAAACAAACTACTGGTAATAAAACCTCTGAAACAAAGTTACTGATATTTGAAAATTGTCTAAGAGATGTCAAGACAAAGAACCAACCTCAAGACCTTCACTGTTCAGTGCCACAGATCGCTCCCTTTGATTGTCTAGACTCCTTTCAACATTGGTTGAGACAGAATTTCTGTTGGGGAAGCGTCTATCTTCATCATTCAAATATATCTCTTCATCAAGTCCATAGTTGCTTTTCTTGTAATCTTCGAGCAACGACGTAGGGGTCATACCCCTCCTCTTCAATTCCTTCAAAAATAACGATTCTGGAGGTTCTTCTCCTGAAAATACAATTGCAGTTTGAGTCACCAACATGAGAAGTTAGTCACTCTATGTTCTCTTTAACCAGCAATTTGTTGAAGGGAATACAAAGAGGAATCCCCCCCCCCCCCCCCTAAAAAGATACATCAGTTAGATAATCTGAATCACTACCACAAATATTTACAAATATGGCCAAAACAAAATAAATTACAGTTTTTCTAAGTAGCCACTAGCAAAACATGAAAGGCCAAACATCATAAATTGTATTATAGACAGTAAGGACCTCTTTGTTTGATCTTGGGGGAAATATTATCCAAGCAAAGGAAACACACCTATCAAGCTTCATTTTAGAGAATATCAATCATAAGCGGTCTATAATGTATATCTGATATCAAAACTATCATTTTTAAGATAAACAATAATGAAATGAAAGTTGAAGCTGTTGAAAATACAGGAAGAAGAAACAAAAAAATATTAACAAAATATAAAGCTTTTTGGTATCAATATTAAATAACGCAAGAAAAGAAAACTAAAAAACAGATATAAAAAATAAAAAAATAAAAAACTTGCCATTCTTTTGGTTTTCGGTATTTTGAGCTCGACAGCAGACCCTGAACTTAGTACAAGATTTAGAAACACCGAAAGTTTGTAACTTTGGCATCCTTTTCAGAAAATAGGAGGGTGAGGAATTACAAGTTGATTTCCTGTGAAAATTGGATTGAGAAAGTGAAAGTGAAGGGAGGGTGGGTTTCAGAACTTGCATGGAAGCCATAACTGATAAGCACAAAAGCTTAGGGGAGCCACTTCATTTGTACCAGAAAGAAAGACGAAACAGAATTTGGAGAGAGAGAGGGGGAAGGCTCAGGAACCGGAAAAGCGCAGTTTAGAATTGGAAGACGAGTGTTGGCTATTGTGCGCGGTACATGGTCGGCATTTATGGCTAGAACTTGCGCATTTGCGGTTAAAGGCTGAAAAAGAAAAAGAAAAAAAAAGAATTTTTAAAGGAATTATTCAGCTTTCTTGTATGATGAAAACGACAATTCATTTCTGTAACAAAATTCTGATATTCTGTTCCTTCCACAAAAATCTGGGAAATGCTATATTGCTCATAAAATAAATCCAAATCGCAGTTCACTACTTCGTCTTTTTTTTTTTTTTTTGGCTTTATTAATCTCATGAAACGATTATCTCGTGTAATAGAGATAATCATGAGGGGAATCTATCCATTATAGAAAAAATAAAAAATAATACGAATCAATATATGTGTGGCAGAAAAAAATTCTCTCCTATAACATCAGAATATATTTTTCCTATTTTTTTTTTGGTAGACTATTTTTTTATATATTCTATAAATGTTTGTTGGGTTTATCTTCTCTTGACAATTATCTCCATATTATTATAAAATTATAAATTTATATGTTTTTACTCAAAAAAAAATTAACTTTTTGCATGTGCCGCCAGTGCAAGTTATATATATATATATATATTATTTTATAAAAAAAAAGTTGAAAGTAAATTTTTTATTACATGATATTGTTTTATGTATTTCCCTTTCAAAAATAACTTCTATCACAAGTTTTTTTTATTCTTTAAAATTCATAATTATACTGATTAATGCAATTATAATAAGTATTAGTTAATTATATAATTATGAAACAATCAAGTAATTATGTGTATGTCAATTTTAAACAACATGAAGTGATTTCACTAAAAATTTTTTAAAAAATTTCATTTAGTTTTAATCAAATTCACTGTGCTCTAATTTCTTTATAAAAAATTGACTCTGATCACATGACATAATTGCATTAGGTACAAGCAATATTTATTTATTTAATTTCTTTGGTTACAATTTATCTATTTTAAATAGAAACAAAAATATCAACTAATATATTTAATTGATATTATGCATCAACTAATATCATCTTTCAATTGTTAGCAGCATAATTAAAATAGCAACAATCTCAATGTGTAGCTAAGTTGGTAATTGAACTGTAGCTTAAGGATCGGGCTTTGGTGATTGATGAAGTCATAGGTTTGATTCCTACAAAAAGCACTTTAAGGCCATTGATGAAAATCTCTTCGCTTCAAGTCATGAAAGGATTAGTCTCATCCTACAGGATGAAGATACCCTAAGTTTACTCAAAAAATAAATAAATAAATATAGCATCCAATATTATTATGAATTAAAATAAAGAAGTAATTCTCTTATAAAGCAATTCATTTGAATTTAAATTTTATAAATCAAAATAAAGAATTAATACAAATTATACCAAATATCTATGCAATAAATTTATGGATTTTATATTTCTCATGTGTTATATGAGATGAACTTCCTTATGTCATAGAGATAAAAATAATGTGAAATCCATAACTTAGAAAAAGTCATATGTAGAACCCCATATCAACACGAAAATTAAAGAGTGTGTAAGAAAATTTCTCTTCTAATATTATATGAAAAGTATAAAATCCTAAAAAAATTTTATGAGAAATACTACTTTCATTTTACATGAGATAATTATCTCATGTTATTTCACTTCAAAATTCTCCCTCATTTTTTTTCTTTTTATCCTTTAATGGCAGGCTCTCATGACTTCTCTCTATAACGTGAGAATTATTCTCATGTAAATTTTTTTTTCTATACTTTCCGATAGTATAAATCAATTTCAGCCTATTCCTCTTACTAAAGTGTAGTACGTTCCTATAAAGCAATATCCATTCTTATTCTCTTATCATTGTTAAACGAGTACTTATTTTAAATTTATTTTATTCTTATTCCTTTTCCAAATGTTTAATAATTTTTTAGCTTCATCAAGTGTTTTATTATTCTTCGGATATATTTTGAAATTCTTGGATATTTCTGTTTGGTATTATTATATAACGCCAGCATCTGTAGAATCTATCGGATATAAAGCAGCACACATGTTTGTTTGGCAATCAGATTTAATTAGAATGCGTGTTTTTTTTTTTTTACCGAACTGGTTTTCTTTTGGTGTAATACCTAACTGAATTTTATTTCCTCCACATTTTATTTCTCAAACAGATGTTAATGACATGCTTAGTAAAAGCAAAGTGAAAAAATGGAAATACCGTGATTATCAGTTTGTTTGTGCTAAGCAAGTGCAAGACAAATTCAATTGTATCACCGACTCACCTAACTTTCCACCGTGAAAATTTCATATGTAGGCTAGCAACATCTGAATAATTGACTCGCCAACATATTGTGTGTTCTAGTTATTTAGGAATGTTCACGACATATATTTGTCTGTGCTAGCAAAGCAAGTGCAAGACAATTTCAATTGTATCACTGACTTGACTTTCCACCGTCATGCTTTCAATTGTGGACTAGCAAGCAGTTTCTGAATTATAAGTTATAACTTCTCTTTCATGCCGCCTTTATGTTAGATTGTGTAAATAATTAATACTTCACCACTCAAAAATCGGTTCTTGAGTCAAAATAAAATTGAAAGTAGTACTAAAAATGAGTCTTTCATATAGAATCTTACAATATACTACCCGCCAAGCCTAGAAAATAGACAGACAGGTGTCCCTGCAATGGCAATGGCATAGGTGATATTTGCTGCTTTGAATTCTAGATAATGGTCTTTACCTGAATTGACTGGAAAGCCATCGGGGTTGCTCGTGTTGGGGGAACATCTGATACCACTAAAACATCATCTCCTTGGGTGATCAATCCTTTAGATTTCATAAATCCAATGGATTTTGATATGTTAGATTCTGCATCATCTGACAAATCAACATGGACGGCTACAACACCCCATTGCAAATTCAGAGCCATACGTGTACTTTCATCATTGGTGAAAGCAAATATGGGAGAATTTGGACGGTTGCGTGATAGGAGTGATGCCATGTGTCCATGCTTTGTGTATACAAAGATGGCATCCACGCCAAGGTTGTTGGCTGCACACATGCACAAATAATTATATTTTAATCACCACTTTCGAGCCATTTTGCAGATTTCACAACAGGATCAATCTTTTAATCAGAATTGTTGCAGGAAGAATATGAAATTACCCATTTCAACAGCACAACTGCATATCTGCTCAGTGGTGCGATCAGGTAATGATACTCCAAGTTGATGGTGATTGAGAAGACTTTGTCTGTTTTCCACACGAGCCCACGATTCCATTCTACTGCTAGTCATATCAAGTACTGCCAGAGCTTTTTGTCCGTAGGATCCAATAGCTGACTCACCAGACAACATCAAAGAATCAGCATACTGTCGAACTGCTTCAGAAACATCTGCTACCTTATTGCATAAAAGCAAATATTCTCGTATCAACCTAAGATACTGTCAATGCAACCAAATTGATAACAGTCATTCTGGTCGTATAACTTAATTTTACCTCAGCACGTGTTGGTGTTGGATATTCAATCATTGACTCAAGAAGCTGAGAAGCTACAATCACTGGCTTGTTAAGTTGTCTGCAAATGTAAATTATTTCCTCTTGGACTGCAGGAATCTGTTCAAGTGGTATTTCGACTCCAAGGTCACCACGAGCCACCATGATTCCATCAGAAGCTTGCACTATTTCTTCCAGATTATGAAGAGATTCCAAGCTCTCTATCTTTGCCAATACTTTTATGGATCTGCAACGACCATTTACCATTCATGATATTCCAAGTCAGAAGATATTATGAAAATTCCTGCAAAAAATATGATTTTGAAAGAAAAAAACATTTTTATAGTAGAAAGGAGACTCGTGTTTAGACAACTTGGGGCAATTAACTATTGAATAAATATGCAGTTATCAACAGAACTATCAAGCAGCAATGACAGAAAGGAAGCTGATCACCAATATTAATAATGATCTATCCACTTCTTAAATCACAGTAGGTGCAATCATAACCAAGAAATAGTGCTGAACATGCCAGTTTCTTACAAGATTATGAAACCCTCAATCTTATGAGGCTTGTAACAGTTGCAACCAATATGATATCAAATAGAAGATGAAAAAATGAAACACCTAGGTTGATAATGACATATTGTGACATGGATACGCCCATCATGATGAATGACGAGTAATGCACAGTAGGGTGTCGTCATAGCAATTAAAAGGGAACACGAAAATCAATGGATCTTATCTCTCCATCTTGACAACGTTGAATATAGCTCATACTTCGCATACTGATAAGGGCTCTTATTGGTGGGGTCAGCAGAAAGACAACTGGGGTCCCGCTTGGGTCCGGAAAAGCCGCCTCGGCGGTGTGGGAGGGGGGCATAGGTTTGGTACTGTTGTAAGTCTCTGACTTATTGTAATTCTATTTTTCTTAATAGTTTGGGCTTGGACCCATGAATAATTGCAGTTAGGGTTTCTAAATCCTATTTATATTCCCTTGTAAATTCGAGTGACTTGTAATGAGTGGCGATGAGATGAATACAGTACAGACAAGCTGGACGTAGCCTACATTTGGTAAACAAAGGTAAATCACTGTGTCGATTTCTCTCTTCCCTTTCTCTTTTCGTTTTTCGATTTGTGTGTGTGTCGATTTCCAACAATAGATACCTAGCCATTAGCCACTAGCATGACATTCTGTTCAAGAAATTACACCAACATTTTTTAACAGTAGTAATAGGTTATGAGTTTAATTAATGGGTAAACCTACTATCATGTAACATAATCTAAAGTATTTTTCCTACTCAAACAAAAATCATGTGGGTCACATACATATAATAAAAACAAAATAAAAAATGCTGGTGGGGAAACCAATGGGTGAGTAGGTAAAAATTGTTATATCATGTTACATAATATTAGTTTTCCCCTTAATTAATACCCTATTATTGAAAAAAATTAATACTATCATCCAATGATGTATCCAGATCATTTATTGAGTTTCACAATTTGTGTTATTAAACTATTAGTTCTTTACGTAAACTCATTAAATGATGGGGCAACATATCATTGAACGAAAGTGTAACACTTTTTTATATTGACAATGCACACAAATTAAATTCATAGGTTATATAGATTATATAGTTGACCCTTACGTGAATTTGTGCTTTCTTACTTGGTTGATTTGGTAGAGAGGTACTTCTTTAGATGCTCAACAGAATCAGCACGATTGACAAAGGATAAGGCAAAAAAGTCAACTCCCTCAGATATACCAAAATCAATATCTGCCCAATCCTGTATATAAAACAATTTGAATTTATTAGAAGATCACATAAAATAAGGGAAAGATTTTAGTTTCCTAACTATTATTCAAAGAAATGTATTAAAAAGAAAACATAGTTCACACATACAAAATCTAGTATGCTAAGCTCAAGAATATTAAATGCTCGGTTCTGAAGAATAGAAGCTGTAGCATATATATATAGAGAGAGAGAGAGACCTTTGTCGATAGAGTGGGAAGCTTGTAATCCCTCCCCACAATCTTTCCATCTCTCCAGAAACTAAATTTGGCTCCAGGAAGGAAAAGGCCAGGATCTATGCACTTACAATGCAAGTCATTTTCAGTCTTTTCAACGACTACAAAGCTTGCCATTCCACCATCAATAACTACTTCATCACCCACTTCAATACCTGATAATCGTTAATTAAGTTTAGTATTCACCTCAAAACGTTCCAAAAAAGAAATTAATTGTGAAAGAAAAAGGAAGCGTTGGTTCTTCCCTCAATTAGCAAAATATCACCACCTTCAGAAAAACCTTTATAGTTTGCTTGAACGGTAAATGGACGAGATCCCTCAAAACGTTCGGCAGTAAAGCGCCAAATTGAATCTTCCTGACATTGAAACAAGAGCAGACATTAGTCAAGAGTGTTGCATGCTTCTAAATTCAATTGGGCAAATTGTAATACATACTTTTCCCAAACTAATGGGAGTAAAATCTACAATAAGTGGTAGATACACGTGCTAAAGTTAAACCTACCTCTACTTTAGCAGATGAAGGAGCCCCATGATCAACAAGATGAATCTGACTACCCTCAGTATCAATCATTACAGAAACAGAGAAACATTTTTCCTCATTCAACTTGTTAATCTTTCTAATGACATCACGGTGCCACTCCCTAGTGCCATGGCACATGTTGAGCCTGGCAACGTTCATTCCTCCCAATGCCAAATTCTCTAAATCCTCCAGTGAGCAGCATGCGGGACCAATTGTGCACACGAGCTTTGTCTTCCTTAACCCCATAAACCCTTTCTCTCTCAAATACCCTTCTGAAACCACATCCAACCCAAAATTCCCCTCCAAACAGCTTGGATAAACCTTGCTCTTTGATCCTTCCTCCAAACCCACTTGCACAGCTGCACAAACCTTAACCCCATCCCCAATAGTTCCCTTCCAATTCTCTCTGTTACAACAAAGCCCTCGATTCAAAAATGGGGTGCCAAAAACCCCATTTCTCAAATCAACTCGTGTGTTTCCCGCTACAGTAAATTTGAAAACAAGACGTAGATCGCCAGCTGCTGCTGCAGCCATTTTCTTAGTGATTACAGAAAGCCTTTTGTTTGGAAGAACGGAAGGACTCGAAAAATTTGAACTTTTACGACAATGTCGATGTGGGTTTGTAGGAATTTCGTGAACTCCGCCAAGGTTTGGACTTTTGGATACAAAAGAAACAGGGGACTTTACTAGCTGTTACTGTTATTCAAGTTAGGTAGAACACACCGCAGGTAAAAAGGCGTCAACTTTTTGTTTTTTTGTTTTTAACAACGAAGAAGAAGAGGGATGTTCTCGCTATCAAAAAAAATTTACTACCAATTTATTATCTATTTAATCATCATTAAATTAATATTTTCTCTCTCTTCAATTTTTTTTTTACATTCTTTCTCTTTAATCCAATAGTGATGTGATGAGTAATAAATTAATAATAAAAAATTTTAATAATTAAAATATGCTTAAACTTTAATAATCTGATACCGGTATTGTTGTGGACCCGTCATATAAGCTCAGTCCATTGGGCAAAGTGGCAAACAATTAAAGCTCAATATAAAAAGTTTTATCGTAAGATAAATGTTATTTAATGGGAGTAATTCCGTTCACAATTTCACATCATAGAACTGAGTGATGAGGACAAAATTTGTATTCAATTTCAATTAAATATATATTTGGGAAAGAAGAAAGAGTTTTAACTATGATTAAGTTCTGACTCAAGATTAGTCTCATAATTAGTTTAAAGAGTTAAAATTTGTAAAGATACTAAAAAATAAAATTACTTGAGTTCATTTTTTCTACAGTTATTGCAGATAAGTTATCTATAGTAAGCTCAATACAACGTCATTTTGGAATGAAAATCATAATATTTTTATAATTTTAATTTATTTCAGGATTATTATAGTCCTTATAATTATAATTTTTATATACTTTAATCTTAAAATGACATCGTTTTGAGAATAAATACAGATAATTTATTTTTAATAAATACAGAAATATTTTTCTTGTAAAAGAAATAATTAGAATTGGTATAAAAAATAAAATAAATGCTATGTCACTAATGAATTTTAGTTTCGAAGGTGAGAGGATGTTTGTCCGCAAGTCACGCCTAACGGGCCAACAAGGCTAGAAAAAGGGTTATGGCTACCTCTCTTACATTTAATGGGGAGACACTTTTTGCACACCTATTTACCATAATGTTATGCGTCTTTGACCATTTAGGGGTGTTTGAATGGTATTTTTGCCCATTTGATATGCTTATAAAGTTATTTTTCGGTGGTTTTTTTTTTTCTCAAACTGGTTTATGTGGAATTGCTTTCAATTTTTTTTTTTTTTATTAAGTTCTGCATACCACTTTGGGGAACTCATTAATATTTTTTAAGGGTTAAGGGCTTCGAATGGCTAAGATTGCATCACATCAAGGGAGATCCGCAAAACTTATTAAAAATTTAAAAAAATATATAAGCAATTCCTAGGGGGCCAGTCCATAGAATTAAATGCCCCCACCGAAAAATAACTTTGAAGGTGTTCTAAACATGTAAAATACAGATGGTAACGCCCTCAAATGGCCAAATAGCCATAATGTTACTCTATTAAAATTCAGTCTCAAGAGTCATCGTGTCAAATATGACCAATTTCATCGTTCAGCGGTGCCTGAATGAATTTTTACCTATTTATTACACCACAAAGTTATTTTCCCGTGTCTGGTTTTACAGACTGACCCCCACAAAACTGTTTTAATATTTTTTTTTTTAAAATTAATGAATTTCGCATATCTCTCTTGGAAACTCATTAATATTATCTTAAGGATTAAAGACTTTGAATTACTGAGATTGCCACATGGCACTATTCATGAGTTCCCTGAGGGGTTCCTGCGAAAAATGAAGCGAGAAACAAAAAAAATTAATGAGTTCGCCAGGGGTTCTGCGAAACTCATTAAAAAAATTAAAAATAAAATAAAAATTAAAGCAGTTCCACGATAACTAGTCTACGAAATTAAACGCTTTCCATTGGAAAATAACTTTGAGACATATCAAACGTGTAAAATATACATCGCCCCCAAATGGTCAAATAATCGTCAAATATATTCCCCTCATTCTTAGCTTTTAAGTGAGATCCACGCAATGACTCCCGTGTTAAGCTTAGATTCATACCTTTCACTCACTAATTTAGTGTTCTATTGAGATATTTTATCCCTAAATAAAAACAAAACCCATTTTCATTGCATAAACCGTTCAGGTATTAAATTAAAAATGAATGTTTCGGATTAAAAAATATATTTTAACATCGATTTTGTTTAAAAATATATTTCCGTAGAGAGGTTAGTAATTGGGAAATAGATTCTCTTATGTGTAATTTAACATGATCATGTCATGTGAGAGGATCTTAACCATTAATAATTAAATCAACGGTGATGATTGTGTAACTTTCTATCTTTATATTTTTTTTCTTTCTTCTCTTATCATCATTCATTCATCCATATATGATTATGATTGCCCCACATGACATGATCATGTTAATTAACACATAAGAAGATTTATTCTCCAGTAACTCTAAACCTTAAACCATGAAAAAAAAAAAATGTCTAGTAGGCAACGAATAATTTTGAAAGTGAAGTAGAGAGCAGATATTTGTCTGACTTTGACGGTCAATTATCTCCCGCCTACCTCTAACGTGCACGGGGTTGTGTTGTCGAACTTGAAGTCACTTCCTCATAGTGATAGTGATAGTGATAGCTACTTTAAGGAAATTTCTTTGATACATCAAATGTACCAAACTCGGTATATCACTTTTTCAAATTAAAAAATTTGGGTTCCAGTTAGGTCGAGGGTTGTAGGGCCAAGGTTATATTTTATAGGGCAGGCAAAGGTAATTTGAAGAATCGAGTAGAAGATAAAAGGTGGTTACATAGATTTGGATTCATATAGCGGCACGTGAGTCTCGTGTGTAAAGTCATTGTTGCCGTTTGCAACAGAGCATATCTCCATGGCAGAAGCTAGATTTGACCATTGTCCTCACTATATATAATTAAGGGATTTTATTTTCTTATGTTAATGGAGATAATTATCTTCTATTATAGACACATAATGTGGTGGAATTCACCATTTATTAAAAAAAAAAATAATGACATAATTTTTAATGTGAAACAACATGAGAGAGTTATCTCATGTAAAATGAGATAATAATTTCCCTATAATTAATTATATCAATTTTGCATTGCCCTTCCGAGATACATATAATTAATAAAATATTCTTGATGTTGACAAATGGTGCTTATCTCTAAATCTCATTAATTGTTGAATAAGAAATTAATATTGGCGACAGAAATAGTGTATCTATGTTGTTTCTTTTAGGCGAATTATACATGAAATAGCATATATAGGTTTTCATTGACCTTTCAGCTGATACAAATGTTAGTCATCAATTTATCAGCATTCAGGAACTTGCACTGTTCAAATTTACATCTTCTGAAACACTGACGAGTTTGATGCTGGGAGCTTAAAAACTCATTTATATTATGAATATGTGCTGCCTGATAATTCTTTATTAGAAGACTTATTCACTGCTAATTATACTTCATTTTTAGTTTATTTTGAGTTAAAGTGGGATGTGATCCTTATGTTTTGTTTTTATTTCAGAATTTTGAAAGCCCAAAAAGGTGAAGCTCAAAAGAAATCAAATTAGAGAGCATGACAAAGAAAATGCAGCCCACGTCAGTAACTGAGCAAATAAAGTAGCAAGTCACGTTCCCAATTTCATTGTTCTACCCTTCTTTGAACCCTATCCTTCTCTCAATTTCAGATCACCAAATCCACTCATTACATCAAGCCATAACCACACATGACCTCAAATTTCATTGAACCCATGAGCCACCAAACCATATTTCATATTGTTTTCTTTCACCATATCATTTTCCTAACCCGTGACTTAACCCAAATCATGTGAGAAGGAACCAAGGTCTTAGCTGTCATTTTTGGTGAAGTTGTTACATGCAGTGGATGTGCAAACAGATTTTGGATGGAAAACTCGTGGAGGTGATTGTGCGAAAAATGGGTCACACGACTTTTGCAAGACGAGCGCGTGTGGATGCTGACGAACGGCCCAAAGCCCATGCATGTGTAGAAGGCGCACTATAAATGGAGAAATTAGCACCATGCAAAAGGATCCTTCATCTTCTTTCTGGTTTTTTTTCTTTTCTTTTCTTTCTTGAATTTTATTTTGCTGAGTAGTTTTAATTTCGTTTCTGAGTACTGTAGCAGAGCTATTTTCTAGATATAGCTTCTGCCTCGCATTTTCCATTTTGTTAATTGTAATTGCCTTTTAATTTTTGTTTGCTGTTTTTGTAGCTCAACCCTTATGGGTATGAGCTAAACCTTTTAAGGTTGGGTCTAGGTTACCCATACCTCAGTGATGATCGATTGTTAATTACTTTTGTTAATTTTTGATTCTCAGTTGTTTAATGTTATACTTTGTATGTAAATATTCTGTCATTAAGGCCTTATGGTAGATGTTATGTTAGGAAGTAGTCATCGAGAGGTGACTAATTCTGGAAATGCATTAAGCATATGGACTTGATTGCTAGAGCATTCAAGGACTGTCACTTAGAGATGAGGGCAGCCACCATGTAATTTTGGACTTGAAATGCATGAGTGCTTACTTCATTTAGCACAAAGATGTGTAAATGATTGTTTGGGATAAAATGATTTTAAGAGATTAAAATCAACAAGAAGTGATCCGTTAACTGGGAATTAAATTTTAATAATCCGTACTTGGCATTGAAACCATTGCTGTGGGAAAGGTAAAACGAAGCTCAACCTAATTTTCCAAACATTTTCGCAAACTCAGTTTTCTTTTCCCCTGATTTTAAATTTTCAATCATCGTTTTGTTTTACATTTTTTCTTATATAAAAATCTTTTTACATCAGATACTTAAATTGTTTTCCTACTATTTTTCATCCTTTAGCTCAAGAATTTAATTCAGAAAATTATAAAAAAATAGAGTAATGTGGTCAGTGCTATTTTAGATTAGTTTTGCTTTTATTTTATTTTTATTTTTACTCTCTTTTTAGATTAGATTCAGTTATAGCAATTACAATTTTCATTCAAAGTCGAAAACGCCAAAGATCCTTGTGGAAACGATAACTGGGACTCACAAAAACCCTATATTACTTATTGTCGCGTATACTTGCACGCTTACTTGCATAACTGTTAGCAAGGCAACAGTGCCTACAATCCAATCTATTCTTGTAAGTTGTATTTACATTGTGTATATCAAATTAGGGGAAAAAGTATCTAATGTTACTTTAGATAACTTTGTTTAATGTTTATCGAAACGACGTCGTTTTGGAGTTGAAAAATTAAAAAATCAGAATGATAAAGACTATTATAATCCTGAAATAAATTAAAATTATAAAATCATCATGATTTACGCCCCAAAACGACGTCGTTTCGATAAACATTAGATAAAATTATCTAAAGTAATTTTAGAAAAAACAAACCCAATAAATTATCTTACATTTTCCGATAAGCGACCATTCTTAGGAATTCACTTCAAAACATGTTCCACCATGACATTGACACCGCATTTTCGAGATCATAACTACTTTTTATTCTCTCCGCGTGCCAAATCTTCAGAGATTTGAAATTACATTTTTTTAATTGAACAAGAACCTAAAATTATCCAATCAACTCTAGCATTTTTGGTTAAACTAATTTTGGCAAGTAATCTGTTTATGTCTATTTAGACATATATTTATATGGGATGTCTCACAAATGATTCTCGGCGATGAGCAGTTGCATCTTTGCAAACATTAACGACAAGAATAATCACAAATGACCATTTAAACTCATTCAAAGCGACCTTTCACTGGTGCATACACTAGGATACAGTAACCAGACATTTATGGCCTGTTTAATTGTGTTTTATTTTTTTTTCTTAAAATTATTTTGTAGAATAGTTAATGAAATATGTATTTTTTTATTTTAAAATTTAAAAGACCAAACACAAAATAAAAACAACTTAAATATGTTTTCTAAATTTTATTTTAAAAATTAAAAAAATTATAATTTTTAAAATTATTTTTATAAAACAAACTTTATCAAACAGTTTTTTTATTTTTTTAAAATCAAAATATTATTTTCGATAATAAAATTCAAACACGGCCTTAGACTCAACCAAAAGTCAGAGTTGCATAAATGGACGGAAGAGTAGGGTCCAAAAAGGCAGAAAGTGGAGACAAAAGCGATAAATTTTCATTACTCGTGTAATGTATATTATATCCATTTAAATTAATTGAGGGTAATATGAGCACTGAAAATTTATTTTAAAAGTGAACATAGAATTTGAAGAAAAACGAGTAAACTAATTAAAGTGGATAAATTTGGAGCATGTGACCATGTGAGGAACATGGATCACGCTGCTTCTTCAATCTTTCAGTACTAATTTTACCATGGGATTAGAACCGGGTTTGTATTATTATTGGCAGGTGTTACAATAAACTGAAATAACGAGGGTCGTTGTCGAGGCAAACCTGTGCAAACTGACACATGACAATGATTCTTTTAACTTAATTAGTAATTTTGAATTTCAATTATGATTATGCAACTGTGTTTCTTATGGAGAGTTTAGTTGTCGTTATCATCATCCTGATTTTTTTTTTTTTTGGGTAAACATCATCATCCTGATTTGAATTAAACTAATTAATTAATCAATGAGGCGATTAAAAAAAAAAATTGGAGGAAATTAACGTCATTCAGATGAGAGGTTTGTTACATCAAACTATGTAGAGTTCGAAACATAAAGCTCGAAGATTGCTTGCATCTAGACGCATCATAAAGTACCTCAATATTGCTTGCAAAGATCAACTTAAATAACAACTTCAACCTTTTATATATTTGTTTTTTTAAAGAGAAAAACTGACTTGATGTTAATCTCGAGTCTTGAGCATCTATGGAAAAAAATAAATCTTTGGTGTAATAGTTGTATTAAGATTCAATGCAATCGACTAATAAGAACATCATACATTAGTCAATACACATCAGAGAAAAAAAAAGAATATCAACTGATATATGATACTCTCGTTAATCGGTTGCATCACAAAGAGAGACAAATTGATAGATAATTCTAAATAAAGGACAAAATTGTTATTAAATAATTAATGAGAAACAAAAGGGTGAAATAGCTGTGCATGTACCCGTAAAGTTCGATGTTTGTACATCACAAATTTGACTCTCCTATGTATACTCAACTAAAATGAATGACAATTAGTGGCACCGGCAGGTAATGAAGTGTTTGATCCCCCAAATCACGCATTTACTTGGCCTAACTCCAAGCATATTCTCGGACTTCTCTTCAAATATTCCTTCACTCTTGGCCAATGAAAATTGAATTTTGACTAAACGGGTAATGTATTTAGTTCTCGGAAAATTCAATTTTTTTTCATACAAGAATAAAAGGCATTGACTATTTGGGCAGGAAATTTACTGTGAAACTTCAATGTGATGATGAAAACAATTGCTTATTTTATTAGACTAACTATTTAAATCTAGGAATGGGAATTAAATTCAGATTATGTTTTTATTAAAAAGAGTTGTTAGCACGAAGATGAGGTAAAGATTATCTAGCAAATAATATATTCATTTTGGAAGATGGCAATTGCCAAACCAAAAATGAAATGAACTCCTTAATTAAAAGAGTTCGGTGTTTGTCATTTTAAATGACATAAATTATGTTATTCTAAGAGAGATAGACACAAAAAATAAAAATCATGGGAGAGAGAAAATGGGTAATTTTTTTTTAATTTAAATTTAAATAAAAAAATTCTTGTATTTATCTATTTCTTTAAATGTTATTTAAAATTACAAACATAATTAAAAATGGGAAAAGGGTAAAATAGAGAAAGCAGTTTTTCCAAAACAATGTTATAAATACATGTCACTATCTTCACAACACAATGACAGACACTCTTAATCTGTCTCTGCAACCTGAATTTCCCACACAAAATTCATTCATTGATATATTTATTATACAAATCTCAGACATTTTTTCATATACACTCAACTCAACATATGAACCTGTAGAGGAAGGGAGGCGTAACAGAAGAATCTGTCTCTACTCTCTACTCAGTTTGCGTGATTTTGCAAATCTCATTTCCACTTAGTCGGGGATTTCAAAGGTAAGTTGAAACAAAAGGTGGAAAAACAAACAAACAAACAAATTGATTTTTGAATTAGGGTTTCTTGGAGGTGCGGGCGGGCATGAGGTTGAACGGAGAAATATCGCACGTAGAAGGAGATGAAGAAGAAGAGAAAGTGGTTGTCGGGTACGCCTTAACGTCCAAGAAGAAGAAGAGCTTTCTACAGCCAAAGTTTATTAGCCTTGCCAGGTACCTCACTCATCATTCTTGTGTCAGTGCGTCTGCATGCATATTCATAGTTCATGTACCTCTGATTCTGAATCCCTTGTTTCAAATTCTCAGTAACGGCTTTGATCATTGCTTTTTTTAATTTATTTATTTATATTTATGGTTTCCTCTGCCTTTACACATTAGTCCCTTTTTCCAATCAGTATAGTTAGTATCACTTTCATGAGTCGAACCCCGAAGCTGTTTTTATGTCCTGAATCTATACTATTGATTTACTTCTTCATAATATATCTGATTTAAATGAGAATATTCCGCCATATATGCCCTTCCTTTCCTTTGGATTTGTCCACCTTGAGAATTCAATGTCAAATCTTACTAATTTTTTTTCTTTATCCTCTATTTAAATTATTTCCCATCCTAGCTTATCCGGAATGTCAAATTACATTCATGTCCACAAATTTTGTATTCTGTTCTATTCGCACCTGCCAACTCGTGATCATAACTACTGGAAACAGTTGCTTCTTTTATATTCTGTCCCTATTTCAAGCGATCGGTGTTTCTCCCCCTTTTTTTTTTCTTTTTCTTTTTTTAAGGACATAAAATTGTGTTATTTTAGTCAAAATTACTCTATTTTATAATAAGAGAAACATAAATATAATGGGGGAGAAAGTTGGATTTTTTTAATTTAAATATTAAATAAAAAAATATTACATTTAACTAAAATGATTGTACTCTAAAAGGATAAATATTTTTTCCAGATTTTAATTTAGTCCCTAGTGCAATTGCTTTGAATTTAATCCTCGCCAATAGTTGCTTTTACATTATTGTTTATTGGTGTAATAACACAATGAAGAGTAGGGACTAAATTAAAAATGGTAGGGACTAGATATTATATTTTTTTATCTCGATGCATGTCATTTATTTTCTATTTGGTCCCTGTACTTCACATTAACTCCATGTCAATCTCATGGTGTTTTAAAAGCAACAGACAGTGGGAACGATATTGAAAATGATTATACCTATAGAGACTAAATTGAATTTTTTTTATAAGGAACAAATTAAAAATGAGTGTTATGTATAGGTACGAAAAATACACACACACACACACACGTGTGTGTGTGTCTATATATATATATATATATATATATATATATATATATATATATATATATATATATAGTTTTAAATTTATACTTACTCTCAAATATATTTGCCTGGCAGTTTGTATTAAAAAAATCTATTGATGAACTATGTAATGTCGTTACTATTTTGACATCCTCAATACTGATCCTTAAAGATTGCTATGTATAATGTAGGAATAAGGGGATATTCTTTGTTGCCATTGATCTAAACAAGTCCCTGTTAGAACAAGGTCCTTTTGATGTTGTCTTGCATAAGGTTTGTGAGATTTCTTTCAAAAAAATTCTCTGTTATTGACGTGTAAAAGCCTTCATGTGTAAGTGCTACTTTTTTTCCCCACTTTTGATTTTGTGTTTTCTTTATCATAATCTGACAGTCTATTTTTTATTTCCAGTTGTCAGGAAAAGAGTGGTGTGATATTATTGAGGTTTGTGAACTCCAAATACTTCTACCCGCCACTTTCACATTGTACTAGCAATCCTGTGTTGCTGTGATCTTTTGATGCACTCATTCATGGCATTGCATGGAATCATTAGCATCTATTAATGCTGGGAATTAAGTATGAGATGGTGGTGATTGTCTGGACAACCTAATATTCTAAAAACTTATTATTGTCTGACATAATTTGCAGAGTTCTTGCTCTCCTCATCATGAATCATGATCAGATAGTTGAAATCAGTCCCTCAAGTATTCAAACAAGTGAGGATTTACTTGTATGATTAATCTAAATAATGTGATTAGGCATTGGTGGACTTTGTTGCCAACAGAAAAATAATCATGTTTCCTAGAGCGTACACATTCTTAATCTCATTGGGAAAGAAGTAGCAATTTTCTTTTAACATTTGATCTGCTTTCTCTTTTTAACAATTAAAATGTTGTACTTCTATTACTTGGCATTTTTGTTTCTATATATTAATGATATTGTTTTTATTATATTAGAATTGGGAAACATAATGTCCTTTAAAGGGATGAAATGTTATGTCAACTGTTTGTTTGGGTGTTTCATTTTGGTCTCCCTCTACTCATACTGTCCTATATCCTTCATCTGAAGGGATGCCCTGAATCTTGGCAATGGCAAACTTGGCAAGTTGTCTATGTATTCAAAACAGAGAATTTTTTCTTTGATACAAATTTTTGCCATATTTATTGATATATATTATGGAAGGAATATTATTCTTTTGTAAATTATTATCCTGTCAAAGTATTCCTTCCTTCTTTGTAGCTCATGAATGGTAAAGTCAAGATCAAATTTCTTAAATTACAAGGGTGGCCAAGATTATAGTTTGGAATCCAATAATGCTACATACCAAAATCAATTGTCTCTGGTAATTTTATAGTATCTAACATTCCTGGTAGATATGACAGATATAATGGTATCTAGAAGGGACCAAAGATGAAAGCTTCTGAGTTCTGACAAATTGTTTGTAACTCATTATGTGTGCAAGAAGTCTCTGGTTAACTTGTTCACAAATATGACTTATATAGAAGTTGCCTATTTTTGTCTCATGTGTGCGAAAAAGGTTTGCTTGTTAGTTTTTTGAGATGATGAATTACTACTTTGCCATACTGGTCTTAGTGTTAAACCTTTTCTGGTATATATGTTCATGGCTGGCTGAAAATATAATTGGTTATTATGGCATGCTTTCTAAGTAATCTGTAAAATTTGTATTCCAATCTGGCTGATTTTACCTATATATTGTCTTTTTATTTTTGAAGGATTACATGCAAAAGCATCCAGAAGTAGCCATTGTTGACCCTCCAGATGCAATTCAACATTTACACAATCGCCAATCCATGCTACGAGATGTGGCAGATCTAAACTTATCTGACTGCCATGGTAACTTGTTTACTACAATTTACTAAAATAGATTATTAAAGTTAAAACATTTGATCTGAAAGTTTTGGGATTGATTACATGAATCTTAAATATTAGAATCATGCATTATGTCCAATATTGGGTACATAAGAAAATTTTGTTATATTATTGGAATATAAAAAAAGTAGTTTGCTTTCTATTTTTCAAGTTGGAACTTGTAAAAATCCAATTCAATCCAAAAGCTTAAGTCGTTGGACAACAAGGATTGAACTCTGGACCACTTGGTCAAAAAGGCTCTGATATTATGTCATGCAATCAATTTAACTCAAAAGGTTTGTTGTAGGTGAAGGCAGATGAATGATTTTATATTTTATATTATATTATATTATATTTCTAAAAGAACTATTTCATATGGGGTAAACTAGGTTCTGTCATTGCTCATTGGTGTTTGCATTTTTTACAAACTTTTGATTTTAAGGCAAGGTTGGAGTTCCACGACAATTGGTTATCGCAAAAAACCCATCTACTATCCCTTACGAAGTCACTAAGGCTGGGATGAAGTTGCCATTAGGTATTTATCTTTATTTGGTTTTCTTTTTGAGGTCTTTAGTTTTGTTTATATTCTTTGCAATTTTATCTCTTAGAATAGGATGAGTTGTACATATTCTAGAACATTTCTTTTCTTGCTGAGTTGTCCAACTACAACTCTATATATGTACTGTACAGTGCCTCTTTTTTATTAGGTTAGATATATAATATTTCAGCTTTCTCTCTCTTCTCTTCTCCTCTTTTCTTCGTTTCTCTTTGATGGTATCAGAGCTCTCTTTGAGGGCCAATCTGTGCTTGTTGCCCATCATATAATAGTAAAACTCACAGAGAGTAACTTCCTTGTCTGGAAGCAGCTGGTTGAACCAGTGATAAAGTCTCACCAGCTTCAACGTTATCTAATCAACCCACAAATTCCTCATAGATACCTTACTGAGGAAGATCGTGCTGCAGATCAAGTTAATCCAGCATATACAGCGTGGGAAACTCAAGGCCAGACCCTTCTCTCATGGCTTATGACCACTCTATCAGAATCTATCTTGAATAAAATGTTGGGTCTTGTTCATTCATGGAAAGTATGGGAGAAAATACACAAATACTTTAATGGGCTTCTGAAATCAAAGGCCAGACAACTGCGCGCAGAGTTACGAAGCATCAAAAAGGGAGGAAGAAATATTTCAGAGTATCTTGCTCGAATTAAAACACTCACAGACGGACTCATGGCCATTGGATCTCTAATATTTGATGAAGAACAAGTTGAGCTTATACTTGAAGGACTTCCTCAAGAGTATGACCCTTTTATTACCACTATCCATGCCCGTGAAAGCCCACTTTCTGTTGATGACCTTGAAATTGAGTTGCTGTCTCAAGAGTCTAGGTTCCTTAGACATCAAGAGTCCTTGCTTAGTGATTCAATATCTGTTAATGCAACTCATTACCCAAATATACACCCTACTACATTTGTTCCTTCTAAACCATCTAACACAGCCCCAAACCAGTCTCTGTTTGTTCGTTTTTTAGTCTTCAGAACAGGGCACAGCCTAAACCAGTCTCTGTTTGCCCCTGCTTTTCAGTCTTCAAAACAGAGCATGCAGCAACGCCTCCCAATATTTAGGGGGGCATCTGATTTAGCTGGACAAGGTAGAGGCCGCTCTAATGGAAGGGGAAATAGAGGTAGAGGACGTGGAAGAGGTAATTTGCAATGCCAACTGTGTTATAAAATTGGACATGAGGTTCACTCATGCTGGCATCGTTTTGACCCCACTTTTGTACCTACACAGCCGCCATCTACTTTTGTACCTACACAGCTACCACCTTCTAATTCTCAATATTTAACCTCACAAACACCACCCTTTTCACCACATCAAAGCATCTTGCCTCCTCAACTATATCAGCCATTTTTCACCAAAACATCTCAAGCACAACAAGGTGTTAATCAGTCCCAAATTCCATCTTTCTCTGGCATAAACACATTCCAAAACACCCTCCAACAATCACAACAACAGGGCATTCAACAAAATCAGCCTTAACCCATGCTTTATTGACCACTCAAACCTTTCCATATAACCAGCAAGGCCTTCTTCCTACTCCTCGATCATCTCAGCAAGGTTTGGAGTGGTTTCCAGATTCTGGGGCGTTCTATCATGTCACCTCAGACCCACAACATGCTCTTCAAAATATACAGCTGAATGGAGCTGATCAAGTCATGCTAGGAAATGGTCAAGGTTTGGCTATAACAGCAGTAGGCTCTTCACAATTTTCATCTCCTTTAAAACCACACACTACTCTATTTCTCAATAATCTTCTTTTGGTTCCATCTATAACAAAGAATCTGGTCAGTGTGAGTCAATTTGCCAAAGATAATTTTGTTTATTTTGAATTTTATCCTCACTCTTGCTTTCTGAAATCACTGGATTCTCACCAAATTCTTCTTGAAGGTGTTCTTGGTAGTGATGGATTATATCGGTTCAAAGATATTTCTCTTCATCCATCATCATCGTGTGCTCCATCTTGTTTCTCTACTGCTCTTTCAGCAACTCTCTCTGATTCAAGTGACTCATTGTCATCCTCAGCTTATTTCACAAATGGTGTTCAAGATATAGACACATCTTATGCCCTTTGGCACTATAGACTAGGTCATCCTCATCATGAGGCTATAAAAATTGTCCTGAAATCTTGTAACATTCAGTTTAGTAATAAAAGTTCTTTTAATTTCAGTCCAGCATGCTATATGGGCAAGTCCCATAGACTACCTTCTTCTCCCTCAACTACTATTTATGCTGAACCATTTGACTTGGTGTTTAGTGATCTTTGGGGTTCTGCTCCTATGTTGTCCACCGTGGGATATTACATATCCTTTGTAGATGCTCACACACGCTTTACATGGATTTTTCTTATCAAACAAAAATGTGAAGCAATAGATGTGTTCAAACAATTTCATTCATTAATTCAAATCCAATTTAAAGCTTCCATTAAAGCTGTCCAAACAGATTTGGGGAGGGGGGCGGGGGGGGGGGGGGTTGAATTTAGACCTTTCACAAAGTATCTTGCCACTCTTTGTATCATTCACAGACTTATTTGTCCCCACACACACTATCAAATTGGTCTTATTGAGCGGAAACATAGACAAATTGTTGATATGGGATTAAAAATATTATCTCATGCTTCTTTGCCTCTAAAGTTTTGGGATCATGCTTTTCTTTCGGCTGTTTATCTCATTAATAGACTACCCACTACAGCCTTGAACTTTGAAGTTCCGTTTACTAAGTTATACAAAACAATTCCTGATTACACCTTTCTCAAGGTATTTGGCTGTGCTTGTTATCCTCACATGAAACCTTATAATCAGCATAAACTCCAATTCAGATCTCAAAACATTTCTCCTAATCTTACCTCATCCTTTGATAACATTAATTCTTTACCTGTTACCATGGTTCCATCTCCTATTTCTTCTTCACCATCTACTCCAGAATCACTTTCTTCTCCTTCTTCTCCAACATCATCCTCTCCATCAGAGTACTTACCTTCATCATCTCTTGGCACTCCTTCACCAGCCAGATTCATCACAACACGGTCTAAAACAGCAGCTCAACCCTCTGTTCTTGTTACTTCTATGGAGCCTACATCTGTTAAACACTTGGCCAATCCTAAGTGGCTTGAGGCTATGCAAGATGAGCCTACTGCCTTACACACCAATGCTACTTGGTCCCTGGTGTCTTTACCCGCTAGCAGAAAAGCAATAGGATGTAAATGGAGTTTTCGTTTTAAAGAAAACCCAGATGGTTCTATAAATAAATACAAGGCTCGTTTAGTAACAAAGGGCTTTCATCAATAGCCTGGATTTGATTATGGTGAAATATTTTCTCCTGTTATAAAACCTATAACTGTCTGTATCATACTAACTCTTGCTCTTTCGTTTGGCTGGACTCTTAGGCAACTTGATGTAAATAATGCATTTCTCAATGGTGTTTTAGAGGAAAAGATGTATATGCAACAACCACCTGGCTTTGACTCACATGACAAGACTTTTGTTTGTAGACTTCACAAAGCTCTATATGGCCTTAAACAAGCACCACGGGCCTGGTTTGACAAACTTAAGGAGACTCTCTTCCAATTGGGGTTCAAGACCATCCGGTGTGATCCTTCTCTATTTATTCTTTGCACCACATCTCACTGCATTTATATTCTGGTTTATGTGGATGATGTCATTGTCACCGGTAATGATGCCAAATTTATTGAACAAATTATTTCCCATCTTCATTCTCGGTTTGTACTTAAGGATCTTGGTGAGCTTAATTATATTCTTGGCATTGAAGTTAAAAGACTTTCTTCAGGTGCTCTTTTTCTTTCGCAATCAAAATATATTAGAGATCTTTTTGTCAAGACTGATATGGCTGATGCAAAAAGGATATCCACTCCCATGATTGGTGCCAGTAAACTGTCTTGATATGGTGCTAATTACCATCCAGATTCTTATCAATATAGGTCTGTTGTTGGTGCTTTGCAATATGCAATTTTTACAAGACCAGAAATTAGCTTTGCTGTAAATAAAGCTTACAGCATTGGAAGCTTGAGGAGCATTGGCAATTCATGAGTCAACCTCTTGAGGAGCATTGGAAGCTTGTTAAAAGAATTCTTAGATAACTCAATGGAACCATTTCTTTTGGTCTTCTCCTTCATTCTGCTGATCCAGCCATTGCCATGCCTCTTAATTGCATTCTGTGATGCAGATTGGGGAAGCGATCCAGATGATCGCAGATCAACTTCCGGTGCTTGTATTTTTCTGGGTCCTAATTTGATTTCTTGGTGGTCAAAGAAACAAACTCTTGTAACTCGTTCAAGTACCGAAGCAGAATATAGAAGTCTTGCCTTAACAGCCGCTGAATTAATTTGGATTCAATCATTGTTGTGTGAACTACAAGTCCCTACTCAAGTGCCTCTTGTTTTATGTGATAATCTAAGTACAGTTGCACTTTCTCATAACCCTATTCTACATGCCAGAACTAAACATATGGAATTAGATATTTAGATATTTTCTTCCTCCGTGAAAAGGTCCTTGCTAAACAACTTCAAGTATCTCATGTTCCAGCCTATGCTGACTCCTTCACCAAGCCTCTCTCTACTGCCCGCTTTACTGATATTAGAACCAAACTCATGGTTCTGGATATACACAGCTCTCTCCACGCCCATGAGTTTATGGGGGCATATTAGGGATATTATTGTAATTATATTCTTTGCAATTTTATATGTTAGAATAGGATGAGTTGTACATATTCTAGAACATTTCTTTTCTTGCTGAGTTGTCCAACTACAGCTCTATATATGTACTGTACAGTGCCTCTTTTTTATTAGGTTAGAAATATAATATTTCAGCTTTCTCTCTCTTCTCTTCTCCTCTTTTCTTCGTTTCTCTTTGAGGTTAGTACAAATCATTTTAGCCATGTTTGTTTGGCTTGCATTTAGCCAACCTTTGAATTGCTGTGGTCTTGGATGTCGTTGCTTGATAAGCTTTATAAATTTGAATGGCCTCAAAGAACATGGTTTGTATCTATTGGATAATACGTTTTGAAGATGCTATGTTTTATTAGCTGAAGATGATATGCAGTTAGTTGTCTTATGGATTTTCATGGCTGTTCCGATTATCCTGATTGATTGTTTCAGATATTCTGTCATCTTTCTTGTTTTGTGTACTGATGTGTATCTTTAAATATTCACATTCATTTTGTCATTTTTAGTTGCAAAACCGTTAATTGTGGATGGAAGTGCAAAGTCACATGAACTGTTTCTTGCTTATGATGAGTTCTCTCTTTCAGAGCTTGAGCCTCCACTTGTTCTACAAGAGTTTGTAAATCATGGTTTGTGAACTGATCCACAGACCTTATTCTTTTTATGTTCAATTCACTTTGTTTTCTAAATCTCTCTCTCTCTCTCTCTGTTTATTTTTGGTGGGGGTGGTTGTTGTTGTTACATTGCAGGTGGTCTTGTCTTTAAGATTTATATTGTTGGGGAAACAATAAAGGTTGTGAGACGTTTCTCTCTACCTAACATCAGTAAACATGAACTATCGAAAGTTGATGGTTTATTCCGATTTCCAAGAGTTTCATGTGCGGCAGCTTCTGCAGATGATGCTGATCTGGATCCTAACATTGCAGGTGAGACTCACCTTCTCTATTCTCTCTCTCTCTCTTAAATAAAAGTGGAAAATAACAATTACCTTTTTTTACATAAAAGAAATATCTTCAAAAACCATATTATTTGCATAATTTTATGCTAATGTCAAAGTTTTGCTTCGTTATGAACTAATGTTTTATATTTTATGTCCCAAATGATATGGATGGTCTTTTAAAGCCTTCTAAAGAGGCACAGCATGGTTGAGATAAATTGTTTTGTTAGAGCAAATCCCATTGTGCAGCAACTACTCTCCTTCCTCCTGTGTCTTTCACGAGGCCTTTATGTAGTTAGGAGACTCTGGGTTGACACATCATATTATTATAACTAGCGGCTTCTTTCAATTTAATGTGACATTGTTGTTGCAGAACATCCGCCAAGACCTTTATTGGAGAGGCTTGCAAGGGAGCTCCGTCGCAGATTGGTATTTTCTATTATTATTTTACTTCTTTCTATAATTACTTTTCATATCTTTACAGTATACTAAGACTAGACTGCATCACCGTCTCTAGGGACTCCGCTTGTTCAACATAGATATGATCCGGGAACATGGGACCAAGGATGTGTTTTATGTCATTGATATCAATTACTTTCCTGGCAAGTATAACTCAATTCCGTTTAAGCAAGTTCCACATTTTATGATTGTGTCAGTGCATAAATTGTGTTGAGTGCTGGATTCTTTGTACTCTCTATTTCCAGCTTTGTCTCTGTCCTAGATCTTCCTTATTCCAAGAAGATAATTGAGTCTAATCATGAATGAACTTGCCGTATATTAGCCAGTGATAGGATTATATTAAGAAATGGAATTTATATAAAGAAACTCATTGTATTCACAAAATCTGGTGTTTTAAATTCACTTAATCTCAAGGCATACACATAACGATAAGTAATACCAGAATTCAACTAATTCATAATTGTTTTTTATGAAGCTCTGAATGAATGATATTTGAAATCTCCAAAATTTTCATTCTATGGGTCAAATATGGTTCATCCGCGTTCAGATTTTTGAAATTGATGTTTTGCTTTCATCCACTTTTTGTGTGTAAATCATTTTTCTTTTTGTTTTAGCGTGTCAGTGATTTCTTCTTCCAGTTATGGGCAATGCACGTGTTGCATATGCTGCTAACCTGCTGTACTATACGCATACTGGTTGAACATTATTCTCTTTTACCCTCTGCAGGGTATGGAAAAATGCCAGACTATGAGCACGTATTTATAGATTTCCTACTTAGCCTAGTGCAGAGCAAGTGTAAGAAGAAACATGGTACTTAAACTAAGCGAAGTGAGTAGAACGATCCATGGAATATGCTATCCTTGCGGTTGCGGATGGTTTCTTGAAAATTGGGCAATATTCTCGTTTTAGTTTAGTATTTAATGTCACTGAAGCCTCTTTAAAATGTCCGAAATGGGTTCGGCAAGGCTGTGTAATCTTTCTCTTCTCTCTCTCATTGGGTCAGTCTACTACTTTTCCAAATTGTTTACTTTTATTCCACTGGCCAGTAACAAACTCTCGCAAATGAAGAAAAGATTGTGCTGCAAGTTCTCTAGGGCTGTGATTAGAGATTGTCGTTTTTCCCAATTCTGTGGGTAAAATTATTGGTTGCTAAACTAAAATGTTATATAAAATGCGTAACATGTTCCTTTTATGCTCTTATTGCAAGTATTTAGCAGCCAAATTTAGGCCAAGATCGAATTTTCAAGCCATTCTAGCCGACTTCGTTTTCCATTTATTTGGAATGGCTAGGCAAAAGAAATAGGGAATCATAAATTGAATAGCGCACTTTTCTTTTCATTTATTATAGGGTATTTTGATGATAAATGCTATAGATCCTATGAAAAGTGCATCATAAATTGCGATACACAGTATTTACAAAGACCCGATACACAATATTTTTAGGACTAGAATGTCAGCAGACAAATGACTGTACATATATACATACACAAATTAAATATGTAAGGCGAAGAGAAATAGGAAGGGAAGAGGGAGGGAGGGCGGGCTTAGGCAAAGGGGCCTTCCGAGGAAAGGATCCATGGCGAGTCTTCACTATGTACAAATCATATACAATATTTACTGCTGCCTCGAGATTTACCAGAAAGGGCACCACCTGAGAAACAAAGAAAAGCATAGTAATCAAGAAGCCACAATTCGCTGTACATATGAAAGCTTCATTATCACATCAAATTAAAAAAGTAATCAAAGGTTCTTTTGATCTGATCTAAAAGACAAAAAACAAAGTTGCGAGGAAGGTGGCTAAGCCAATTTATAACAATAAAATTGCAATATGGAGCCAACCTCAAGTATCTAACAATCAGTCAATCACTCGGTCAAACAGGAGGAAACCAATTCCTTGATTTTCTCACAATTGGCCCATACATTGTACTTGTTATTGGGCCAAAAAGGACAGATAATGTTGTCAAGGTTCAAACAATATATATATATATATATATATATATATATATATGGAAAAAAGTGTGTATTATTTTAAAGGATATAAAGTTGTGTCATTTTAAGTGAGAGAAAGATATAGATAAAGGAGGAGAAAGTGGACAAAAAAATATAAAGGTGTGGATCCCATCTCTTTGTGAGAGTGAAAGGATATAAGTTGTGTCATTTAAAAGGACAAACACTTTTCCTTATAAATATATATATGTGGTAAAATCATTTCTGTAACTGCTTTACGTACAGCAACGACAGGTGTATAGTTATGATTTCTCACATTTAATGTTTTCATCCTTTGTATGGTTATGATTCTCCGCATTTAATGTTTTCAAACATATATATGGCAAGTATTTAATTGCTGCACGTAAAGCAGCAGCAGAAATAACCTATATATATTCAAAAGTGAATCAATTAATATAAGGAAATAAATAAACAAAACGACGTAATTTTGGAGTGGTCGGAGATAAACTTATCTCAAGTTGCCGGAATTTTTTTTTTTTTTTTTTCTCTCTCTATTTATATATATGGGAAAAACATTTCTCAAGCTGCTTGAGATAAGTTTATCTCCGGCCACACCAAAACTACGTTGTTTTGATTATTTATTTCCTTATATTTATTGATTCACCTTAGAATGGTTATGATTCCCTTTTTCTCTCTCTTCCTTTATCACCATTGATCCATCTTTGTACGGTTATGATTTAGTAACCGGAGATAAAGTTATCTCCAGCAGCTTGAATAAGCCCTATATATATATATAAAAGTGAAATTCGAAATTTACTCGATGAAAACTACAGGAGTTAAGAGATCATACCCAACGTAATTTTGGCACAAATTTTCATGCGATGTAGCTTGGAAAATTAACTTTTGAACTTGCAATTTCACGGATAAAGCATGATCAACTTCACGAGTGTCTCCTGAAATTAAGCTGCTATGATCGACCGCATGCTGAAGGGAGTTGTTTGATACTGAAGAACAAGTTGAAAAATCTCGTCCTGTAAGCTTATTACTCATGCGAGCCATGACAACCACAGCACGCTCATTCAGAACCTCATTAGCATCACCAAGTTGGTTGACAGCCTATATGCGCAGGTAGATATAATGAGCATCATTAATCAATAGCAAGCAATAAAATAATTCAGTATGAAGGTACCTGAAGAAGTTCCCTTTCACGGGCGCCGCGCTGAGGATGGGGAAGCTCTCTATTTGGGGCAGATTCTTCAGTATTTACAACAGGAGGTACATGATTGCTGGTAAGCATGGACATTTGCGGAACTTCATTGAAGTTAAAAAGACGCCAATTTATGAGAGGATCATGTACAAAGGCCTGAATGCAGAAAGAACAAATAATCAACTTATTTATTAAAATGTATCAAGATTAACATGAGATGGTATAGAGTAACAACTCCCACATAAGTGGCCCAAATTTAACATATGCAGTTAGAGAACGGTTCGTTCAAGAGCAACAACATGAAGATTAAAGCAATAGTAAGAGCTGAATTACTAAACAAATTCTTTTTAACATATCTTTCTTCTTTACTGTTCATCTCGCCCTAATTCTTTTTTCACCTTTATATGTAGTCTTTACTATTATTATTAATAATAATTATCTACTATCTTTGCAAAGGTACAGAAGAGCACAGCAACAGTCGTATATCAACCACCCCACAATCTGCCCCTACTTAACAAGAATCAGTCACCCGAGTTCAAGCCCTAATTAATCACACTTGATTAAGGGCCAACACATAGTTCACTCCAACGCTTTGCTTCATAGTTTTCCATTTTCTAAACAAATATTAATAAATAATTTCAATCAAGTATCTACAACCTGGGACCCACATGAGCAAACCAAAACGTGTAATGCTAGACATCCTAATACTCGTACCAAATGTGGCAGCTGAATCTGCACTACCGAGTAATAAATTAAATTTTATAAATATAAAAATAATACTTAAAAAATCATAAATAATCAAAGATAAGGCCTTTTTGTAGATGATGTTTCTTTTCTTGGCATTAAATTTGATTGACGATATGGCAACAGTGACCTGGATTGCCACATCAATTGGGACAAGAACTTTAGTTCAAGATCTGGAATGCATTTAACATTTACACAAGTTAACAATTAATTTCAAACTTCAATGCAGAATCTGAATTTCTCCCATTACTAAAGAAATGCTTTCATCATTTAGAATTTCACAAATAAAGGGTAACTGGGGGGAGTATCTATACCTCCATCATGGCCATAACACTATCTTTATTTGTTCGCAAAACTTGCATAACATTTTCACAAGTTGAGCGGAAGTTTCCCTCGATACCACTAACTTCCATGGCTTTCACAAGCATTCTTGTCAGGCGAAATGGAACCTGAATTGGAACGTAAAAGATAAGATACAACAAAATATCCAGAACCACTATCGTCCAAAATTAATAATTAGTTCTTGAGCGCACCTTCTCTGGGAACTTCTCACGATTCATTGATGCTTCAAAACAGTCTCCAAAATCTATGTGTAAAATCTTTCCACTGCGGAACATAAAAAATATTACATGCTTCAAATTTTTTAATTAATGTCAATCCAGATAACTTTATTTATTATCACAGGCTACCTAAACCGGTGTAACATGAGATTGCTTGGATGGCGATCACCTAAGCCAAGAAGATAACCAACCTTGCAAAACCCAACCATTATAGTTTAGCTCATATTAAACAACAACAACAACAATAATACTAATATCACAACAACAGAGGGGAAATGTATTTGCAGTCGGCAACTATTCAAGATACTATTGCCAGGACGCAGGAAATCATATGCAAAATGTCATAAAAAGGACAAAAGCTGACACTACAAATTGGAACTTGCAATCTAATTTACATTGCTTTTGGAGGAATGCATAAATTAGATAGACAATCAATAGCCAAGCATGTACAATATTAGAAGTCATCAATGTCGATGGTAAAAACTCGCGCATAATTGCATACACAGTGAGTTTATATCAACAATAAAATGGAGACATTGAATTGTAGCACTAAAGGGGGAAAAATGTTGATAATAGTGGTTATGAAAGCTTAAAACTTCGAAAGGCAGGGGAAGGACATCAAGTGATGACCAAAATTTTCCCTGGCATAAGTCTATCTTTTCCAGCTGAGTTATCAAAGGTTTGGTAAAGCCACCTAGTGGGACCTCTTATAAATGCTTTTGAAATACAATAAAATCAGAATATCATGGAACTTCTGAAAAGCATAGATTCTACATGGTGAATTACACATTATAAAATGTAGCAGGTATCACAACTTCAACTTGTGCATAGTAAGGACGCACCATACTCATAACTGCCAAACTCCTGGTGTAATTTGTCCTCCTCTCTAACCAAATTTCTGATGTTCGACTTTTCAACCAAAGAATCTAAAAGTAGGAACATTGTGAAACTCGAGATAAGTATATGTTATAGAAGACCGTATGCCAATTAAAATTTATAAAAACATTATATTACCCTGGCAAGGTCATTTCCTTCAGTATTGTGCAATGCATGCTGAAACACCTCCACTTTAGCTATAAGAGGCAGATGATCATAATCGGGTGCAAAACTGAGCATGCATTTGTGTTCCTGATTCAAGGTTATCTGTACAACAAGGGCATGGAAAATTATCATATTTATGAGTTAATAAACTATTACTACATTTAAACCCAGATTATAAAATGGTAATAAGTGATAGCAACAGGGACTATGGGGAGCAATGGATAGAAGAAAACGAGGGGATTCTAACTGACCTTTCTAGCATCTCGGTACTCCCGAATAAGATGATGCAAGGTGTCACAATTTGGGACCCATTCAATTAAACCACTGTTTGGAGATAAAGGAATCACAGCATATCGTTGAATAGACAGATCTTTCTCTGCTGTTTTAGGAGAATTCTCGAGCAGGGTATTCACCAAACCGAAAAGCTAACAAAAATAATGATAGGGTACTCATCAAGATGAATGAACCTAGACAAAAATTTACCAGATACCAAAGATATACAAACAGCATGCTCAAAGAAAACCATAGGGAGGAAATACCTGCATGACTCGTTCATCCTGGCGTAAATCCTCATGTCCCTTTAATAAGAAGGCATAATCATCACCATCACTCCCATGAATGGTTAATTTCCTGGGTCGTTGCTTAGATGTTATGACAACAAGCTGGCGTGCAAATGATGCAATTGTAACCACTGGTGCATCTGAAAAAAGAATATAGATGTTTTAGTAAATCAATAAATATCTAAATATGATTTAGCATCAAGGAAACAAACAAAACTAATTTACCAGCTCGGTATGTCCCAGGAACAGCAAGCTCTAAATTGCGGCATTCTAGCAATTCTGGAGAAACAGACTACAAAATATGCACAAAATTTAAGGCCCAAAACAATGAAATAAATGATTGACTAAGCATCACTCTTACCTCCAAGTCCAAAGTTGTAAGACTTTGAAGTTGCTTATCTATCTTTCTGAATACATGATAATAGATATCCCATGCCTGACAAAGAAATCATTAGAAAACTAGTGCCAGAAAGGGAAAATTACAGAAGCAGACTGCAATTGTTGTTACTTTCATGGAGACTGCTAGCCATGCATGCAGACAAATATAAGTTATAACTAAGGGAGGATAAGTTATGTACCAAAACACACACAAAACAAGTAACATGCACACAAAAAAAGGGAGCAAATATAGACATGGAAGATGTTGTCAAACAAATCAAAATCTAGGAAGATGTCTTAGCAGCTTGTTTATCCATCCTACAGTGAAGACTGAACAACCCATCTAACCCCGAATATGATCTCCAAAATACAATCAGAATGCATAAAAGTGGATCGAACAAAGTGGATCAAACATAATTGCAAATAACTAATTGATTTAATTCTTTGAAATTCAGCATTTCTATATTAGTCAAGGTTGCAATATTTCGTGGTACTTTTGTTTTTCAGAAACCTGTATAATAGAGAAACATAAGACTTAGAGTCCCACATTGGTTATATGGGTGACTAATGTGGAATTTACATGGACTTTGAGCTCTCCTACCTCTTAAGCTAGCTTTTGGGGTAAGGTTCTCCCAAGGTTCGTATCAATTGGTATCAAAGCATTCGACTATGTCTCCCAGTTGCAATCGAGTGGCGCGTGTGGTGACTCTGGCATTGCAGTGTTCGTCAAGGGCTAGTAAAAGACTAGCGCAAAGCCAGCCCCTGTGGGCGCAGCGTGGTGGAATGCTACGATCCTGCTCCAAGGTATGGGACTTGAAGTCCCACAATGGTTATATGGATGACTAATATAGGGTTTATATGGACTTTGGGCTCTTCTACCTCTTGAACTAGCTTTTGGGGTGAGGTTCGTATCACTTTTGCTTGATTCTTTTTCATTAATTTACAGTTTGGATTTAAGGCTCTTTTCAGGAGTGCAACTCCTGCTACTAATTTCTAACAGAGTCAGATTCCTTCTTGATATGCTCATTTGGAAATCTAAAGCTTCCTCTAAGATTAATTCTTTCTCATTAGTCCTTACACGTGTTGTGTTTCATTCTACTACAGAAAATGCTGTTCATTTATTCTTACACTGCCCAACAGCCCCTTCCATATGGATTAGACTCTGGACTGTGAAGTATATTTCCTGATTTTGGAACAGTTCTTTTGATTGGTTTTAGGGGCTTCAGTTAGAGTACCTAAATTTCATGGAAGTTTGCTATTCATGACTGAAAAGGAATTCAAGTTCTCTCTCTCTCTTCTATCTAGAAAAAAAGGTTTGTCTATAAATATGCTTTGGAGTAGGGACTGAGAGAATTACGCTAAATGATATGAGGGAACATTGGAGGGATTTAATAAGCTTGTTAGAGACATATAAAACCATTAATGTAGTTTCATCCATTAATGAGGGTTTTTGTTTTGGTTGTACGTCTCCGAAATTGAAGAATATGAAAAATATTATTTTCAGATAATTCTGATACACAAAAGTTAGAGTTATAGAAAGTCAGCCTTGACAGAAGAAAATAAACTAAAGTCAGATCCCATGTTTTTTTTGGAATTCCCAATTGACTAGAAAATACAACTAAATGTGAGGGATGCGATATGTTGCTGAATACAGAATATTTCCTAATATAGAGAGTAGGATCAGATCATGGTTTTCCACATTTGTCTGAGTTCCCCCTTTTCTGGAAGGAAGTTTTCTACCACGAATAGGATTTGACCAAGATTTATAACATCTTTTGTCCCAATACATTAAAGCATCCGAATGAGCCAGGACCTTCATAACAAGTTACTCACTACAATTTTACAATTCCAAACTTTCATACCTGGGTAAGCTCAGCATCTTTCCCAGTTCTCTTATAATTCATACAGCACTCATACGCCTCTAATAATTCCTGTCGATAGGCCTGAAATAACAAAAAAGTACTGACAAATTTAAACTCAATAAGTTTTAAGGTGATTACCCCAAGGTAAGAAATTATGATAATAATATAACCAAGGTTTCCAAGACAGCCAACTATATACTATAATGGTTTAAACAAACAACCCAGACAAGGAGATTATAATAAAACCTCAATAAATATTCTCTCCTTTATGGTAACATTGTTTTTCATCGCTCCTTCTTCAAGCATTTCATGCAATGGCTCCAACACCTTTAGCATCCCTTCAATATTATGTTCACCGAAATACAAACGACTAGCTTCTTCCAGCGCTTCATGCCACAGTTCATGCCACAGAATAGCAACTCTGATCAGTTCTTTTGATACAAGTTGCGCCTGTAGATAAAGCCAGCTTAGGATTAAAATGGCAGAAGTCTGACAAAAATAAACTTTGGATAGATTATTATCAAACCTGATCCACAAGTACACCACTATGCTGCCGAACTTTGTCCACAACTTCCTGAGCTGCAGCTTTGCGTAAGTTGCTTATCGATTTGCAGGCCACAAGCAAAGGATACATGAGAGCCTACAGAAGAAACAAAACACAATCGTCCGAAGTTAATAACAAATTTGACATCCAAATCATTTACAGTGGCATGGCCAACAGTACAATAAGAAGCATTCAGTAAATCATTCAAGTGCTACTCCCCGTGAAGTAACATAAGTAGTATATCAAGTTGAAAATAAAAGGAATCTGACTTAACCATGTCATTACACTACATAGTCCCAGATTTGTCATCCAATTAAAGTAGGTCTCATTTTGCAAACTTTAAGGCTTGTCAACACTCCTTTTTTCCTTTTTCTTTATTTTAGTCTCAAATTACTACTTGCAACTGCCTCCAGCAAAAGCTTCATAGAAGAGTACTTCATTATTAAAGTATTAAACTTATCATCATATTAAACTACTGATATATATTTGCAGCAATGTAAGGAATAAATCTATGATAGAATTAAGCAACTCCCCAAGACTTAAAGATGGACAGTGGCAGTGCCTTAGCACAATGGGTTTATAGTTCTTGTCCTCCCGAAAGAGTTGCAATATTATTTTTGAATAGAACCATACTTTTGCATGAAGGATACAGAATAGAAAAAAGATGCCAAGGTCCAAGGTTGTAACACAAGTATAACAGGAATATACAAAAAAGTATCCATTTTGAAAAAAGAAATAAATTCATATAAAGATAACCGACAAAAAATGGAATCCATCCAAACATAAATACTTGCTGCTTCCACAGGTTCACGATATCTTCCCAGTTCTCAGAAAAGAACAACAGTCCAACATCTACAGAGTGCTACTTCTAAAAGAAAATTGGTAAGTGGAAACCACTCCAAGTCAACAATATTAGCCACATACCTGTGGATGATTTTGCCCAATTCGAACCAAAAGTGATTGTATCAACTCTCTCACAGCATGGTTATTAGAGTGTATCCTGGCAATTATTTGAGGTAGAACTACTAGCCAAGTATTGATATTAACTAGGGAAAATCCTTTCTTTAGGGCCATTTGAACTTCTGCCGTAGCTCCGTGGTTGAACCATAATGTCAGAAGTCGAAGAATATCCTGCAGCCAATACCACAGCAAGCTTAAGAATATAAAGAAAAGGACATACAGTATGCTCGAGTCAGGACAAACAATAATAACTCAGCAAAAAAAATTTCATCATTGCTAATGTGGTCCAAATTGATGGATACATATGTTGATAGTTTCACATTATAACAGAAATTGGAGCTTACCTGCAAACTATCATCAACACCTTTAGAATTTGCAGCACATGCTATAGAATGAAAGTACCCAGTAACAGCTGCAACAACAAACTGTGCTGCAACATCGGGGAAACCTCTTAAAGTGTAATGCGACATCACTGCTGTATTGAACAATGCCCATTTATGCCAAGCTTTGGCCCATTTATTTGCATACTGAGTAGCGTTTGTGAATGCATTAAGTATATCTACAAACGTTGAAACTAAATCAAAAAATTGATCAATATCATTTTGTCTTTAAAGTCTAAACTATAATAACTAAGAACCTTTTATGGACTCATCAACCAGCCCAGGAGAAAGTGACCACTGCCAGGACCCAAGAGTCCGATAAACACGGGCAAGGAGAGGAACATTTGGATTCAAAACACTTGTGAACCCAGAAGGTGTGACTGATTGAATGGTGGGTGCGCTTGAAAGTTCCATAGCCAAACTCTAGGCCAAGTAAAGCACGCAGATAATTGGCAGTAAATATTTAAGTTTAGATAAGAGCTCACTGTATAAAAGGAGACATATTATACCTGCAGCCTAATAAATGCTTCCCTGCGCTTTGAATCCTCTCCAAGCGACCACTGGTACTTCAAGTAAGCTAGCATTACTTGAGGAGGGCCATGGTATCGTACATTTTCAGGAGATATTTCAGGGTCATACTGATAGAATGAAAAATAACTCGAGTCAGATAGACAACAAATCAAGAATAAGAATTAACACCAAGACAACAAACTTCTTAGGCCAGGTACACAGCATAAACCTGTAGAAGTTTAACTAAAGTAGATCTTGCTTGGCTAATACGTCCACTTTTTCTGCAAAGAGAAGCAAATTTGAGCCAAGTTTCAACATCTTCTACGGGAGGCAGCACAAGTGCTCTAACAGCCAATAGTAACTGCCAAACCTACAAACAAGCACCAGAAAGTTAGAGGAAGGAAATTCAAGCCTAATTTTGAAAAATGTTAATTACAAGGATAAACCAGGTTGCAAGCTCATTTATAAACTAATGTTAGAGATTTAAAACTAAATATGGGACACCCAGAGTTGTCAATAACGATACTTGAAATTTAGAAAGCAAATCTGGTTGAGTAAATTGTGTGTCTGCATCAGTCCATACAGTCTCGATATACATTAGTGAGGGTTTAAATTACTATGATTTAATCCCTGATATACATAATCCTAACTCATTCTACACTACATACATGATAACCCACCATAAATACCTACAGCGTTTAACATATTCTAATAGGATATTCTAACAACGTAGCAGCGCTATCACAGTGGAGCATTGAATTGCAGTCCTGTTCCACTCCAGAACTCCTATAACATCATGTGTCAGAGTTGCAGTTGCTGTAGTGGTAAGCCACAGCCTGGAGAGAGCTTTAGTAAAGAGTTGTAGCCCTAATGTTTTTTAAGAATATATTAGTATTATATTCTTAATACTAATGCTTATTAAGAAAAATAATTATGGCCTTTAATCCACAAGGTAGTAGCCCTAGCAATTTCCAATGTGGATCAGATTTCAACGGGAACTTGATGAGTCAATAAGCCTTCGAGTCTTGCTTTTACTACTATATTGGGAGCTACTCTACGTATTACTTGATATAAAACAAATAGTGGATTTGTTTCTATCTTTTGTTGAATTAGATAAGCTGATAAGCCAATGATTTTTTTCCGTGTTTCAGAATACAATTAACCAACATTTTAACTAATCGATTATGATAAATTAAATCGGATTTTGCAATTTTTCTTCTGCATTATCTCACCGAAATATGAGTGAGCATGAAAAGGAGAATCCATTTTTTTAACTTATACAGACTAAAATATCATTTATTTTGGCTTCTTGGTCCCATATTGTACAGTGCATCTCAGAAGGTACGAAAAATCTCCCTCCAAGCCCTACCAAAGAAACAGCGAATCCCAAAAGTCTCGGAAGACTTTAATTACATTCCTTTGAAATTTAATCCATAAAACACCCGTAATGTTTAAGCATGCACATGCATTTTTAGTAGGGAAAATCTGTTTACCTCAACATTGCTTTTAGCTCCTTGTATACGCTGAGTCCACATATTGCGAATAAGAGCCCGACGCTCTTCAGCAACTCGGTCTCCAATTGGAAGTGTACGGTAATCAATAACCTGGTGGAAGAGAAGATCTTCCCAAGTTAAATTCACAACTATAACATTGGGTAAAGGATAGCAACTGAAGGTAAGACTTCTGAAACTGTTAGAGCTAACCTCTTCTAGTTCTGATAGTTGCTGAACACGAACCATATTGCTGTAAGCACGCTCATAACTCTCCAAAACCTGGAAGTGAAAAAATTTATGAGAACAAGTTTCTTTATAAGAAAATGAAATAGGAATAACAATTACATCATTTAAACTACACATGGAAACTACAGGAATATCATACTAGGCAATAAAAAGCATTCAGAAGAAGGCATGTATAAAGGCTGTATGAACCAATGTTTCATGGGGATCCGTGATACTTATAGATCCACAAGACAACATTATTCAAATAATGAGCATAAAGAGTACAAGATTTCACCATATAAGTCAAATTGCAGAAGGCTTATGTAACTCTGAGTAGAGGGGCAATTAATTCCTAATGCTTAAGTTGTTAGTAAAGGCTCGGAAATGGTTTTTATCAATATCTCTAACCAATATGAAATGTAAGGCTGCTTTTAAATCCTACAATCAAATGCATTCTCAAGGTGAAATTATATTAACGTAGAGCATATGAAGAACAAGTACTTCAAAATGATGTCATATGTGGGTGGTGAATGACCAGCATATAGTACAATACAGGTACAGCATGGGAAGTGATTACAGAACTTCCCAACCCCATTACCAAAAACACAGTGCTATCACTTAGTATCAGTGAAACTTCTTGTTATCCAATGATAATGAACTAAGGCACTGTGTCCAATATGATTACATGATTAGTTGAATTCAAAATAATCAAAGCTAAAGAATAAAACTAGTAAGAGAAGTTTACAAGCATACTCACCAGAGCGGCAAGCTCTGTCGCCAGACATTTTCTAGCTCTTTCAACATACTCACGTGCTTCATCATACTGCCAATAGATTAAGATCACAATAAGTAAAATTTAATAAACCAGAAACCAATAGTAGATGTCTCAAGCAAGCAAATACCTTTCCTCTACGAACTAATAGAACTGCCCTGAAGAAAGTACCATTACTACTTCCATCGCCACTAGAAGCAGCATTCCCCAAGCTTCGAAGTTTTGTTTCATCACCATCATCTAATCGAGACACATATTCTGCCATTTGGTCCCATTCTCCCATGTTCCAAGCAGCATTTGCAGCCTAAAAAAACAACATTAACACCATAAGCACAGGCAGGGAAAAAGGTCCATCACACATGATAAGAGTATAAAACCAACCATTGGTGCCATTTCAAGACGAGCAGCTGGCTCAGCTGGGGTCCAATATTCTTTACATAGGTCACTCAACTCTTCCCATCGAGCCAATGCAGCAAGGCATCTCATTCTACCTGAAAAGCAAGCTCCAGGTTCACACGTTTTCAAAGATGAAAAAGAATTCCAAAGGAGCAAGAAAAGAATGCGACATTTGAATAAAGAAAAAAAAAACCTTCAGCCACTTCTGTTTGGGACATGAATGTTCATGTACCTTCTCTTTATATTCGTCCCCTGACCTACATAGGGGCATTACTTTGTGGATTTTCAGACAAACTGGAGGGCACTTTCTTGTTTTGGGTTAAAAGGGAACAAAAGGTGAAAAACAGAAAAGGAAAAACTAGAATACATTCATGCAGGGCTAAAATATCCCTTTGCATGAGCAGCGATCCGATCACTTTTGGAGAAAAAGATGAAATGGTTATGCCGAGATCTCCAATGAGACTGCACTTGGCCAATGGCTTTATTGAAGGACCATATTAAAAGATAAAATGGTAAGGCCAAAATCTCAATTAGAACTACAAAAGCAACAGAAGGCAAAAGAAAGGAAAGAAACAAAAGATCATATTCTTCTGGTTTAAGCATGCCTAGTAGCGAAATGCACACAGATTTAGACTGGGAGAATACACCAAACAAAAAAATAGTCCGTTTCCCACCTTTTTTATTTTGAGCACATACACTTCTCACATAAGAAGAGGTACGATTACAGTAACACATGTTTACAAAAATGGCCAAAATTTTAAACCCAAATGCATCCGTGGAACATTTCCTTTGTCAACAAATAACTCTAAGTAGTTTTTTCTTTATCTTTTTCCTTGCTAATTAGGAATCAGGATGCAAGTATTTATCCACTACAAAACTTTTGAAACTTGCTTGTGAAGCATTTAGCTTTGTATTTTATATTTAATAATTTGAACCAAACAGCTGCATAATTCTTGCCTTGGTAATCAAGGCTATATAGCAGGAGCATCAATCTTCACAGCATCTAAATCAGATGCTAAGAGCTGATACAAATTCAATTTTAATGTTCTAATATTTGCCAATTTCAAGTATTTCATTCAAGTTATAAAGTTATTTCCCAATTATTGGGGTACAGGATATAAAATTATTCCCAAGTATGAATTAGAAATATATGTAAGTTGTATTTGAATTCTGATTCTACAAATATCACTTCTATATTAACACATAATGTTGGTAGATATTTCTTTTGAAAGTTAGTTCAGCATTCCCTGCTATAAACATCACCCTGGATTCCCTGGAGATTGCAGTATTTCCCACGCTCATAGCTAACCAGATACCATAAATGCCAGAATTGGTGCAGAGTTGAAGCACATTCAAATAAATCAAAACAAAGGAAGTTATAAAGGAGGGTGAATTCATCAGTACAGACCTAAAGTGGCCTCCAAGACAAGATGTGGACTTGTTGCTTGAGAGGCCTTCAAAGTGTAAGCCTTGAGGGCATCATCCCATCGCTGCAGTTTCTCATACCTAAAGGACATCAACTATAAGTTTCTAATCTTCTCATGAGTATGCAGAGATATAAACTAGAATTGCATACAAAAAAGAAAGGTTGATAAATATAGATGTTAAAATGTCAAACATCACCATGACTCCTTAAGTTGAAAATCTAGACCCTGTTGGGCATAGGTCAATATTCCAACTGCAGCCTGCAAAAGTAAATGTTTTAACAAAGTCAAAACTTTGAAAGCAGCAGCCAAATGATAAACTTGATAAGAAATCATTTCTCTTCAAATCAACCTCATGTTGGTGTAATTGGTTGTTTATATGAATAAGAGCTTCAACTACAGCAACTGGGTTAGCATCCATCTTCTTAGAACGTGCTCCTTCAAATTCCATTTCTTTATAGTGTAAGGCTTTTGCAAATGCACGACACTGTGACATACAAAAGTGACAACACGTGAAAGGGATAAGGAAAAGTCAGAAAAAATATCCAATATAACAGGATTAAAAAGTTGTTTAAAAGAGCTTGTTAAAGGGCATGCATGAATTATGTCCACACACACACACCCAAAGACGAGAAAGGAGAGAAGCAAAGGACCTTCTCAGCAAGAGCACCAAGAAGGCGAATATCTATAGGCAGAGGTTTCTCATCATGTTCCATGAACTCAGCCTGCATAATCAATTAACAAAACATAAGAGAGTAAATTCCAGTAGTAGCAAGATATCAGAGTTTCATCTCTCTCCATGCATCTTCAAAATCAATAATATTAAATAACCCTTGTTTTCAAAGAAACCAAACTTGATAGAAAACATATTCCACACAACAGCAGGTTGGGTGTAGTAACCGATTGAAAAAGATCCCTCAAAAACCAAAACCTTGAATTCCTTTTCATGACAAAAGTCACTTAAAAAAATAACAACCAATGCCTTTTCGCAATAGGTGGAGTCAGCTACATGGATCAAACAACACAATTTTATTCTATCATGAACTAAATCCTTAGCAAGTCCAGTTAGGTGATTAGGTCCTAGTCCTTTTTTATGGTTTCGCCTAGCTTTCCTCATTTTTTTCTTGGCCTCCCCATACCTCCAACAATAGAGCTACTCCTCCATCTGATCCACTCTTTTTACTAGAGCTTCAATTGGTCTTCTCACATTCCAAACCATTTTAGGCAAGACTATTATCTTTTCCTCAATAGGTGCTACCCTACTTTCTCTCCAATGCATTTATTCCTAATCCTATCATTTTGTATGTACACTCATCCACCGGAACATCCTTATGCCCGCATCACTGAGCTTATGCTCTTGTTGACTCTTTACCACCCAACATTAAGTACCATAAAGGCATAAAAAAATAAATAAAAAACTCTTTACCACCCAACCAATCATGAAAAATAGTAGGCTGTTAGAAATATAACGTAAAAACAATTTATATGTCTTCACCTAACAGCTTGAGCTTTTAGGAGAGTTGATTCATGACATTGTAACAAAGCCTCTATGACCAAGTGGTCTAAAGTTTGATTTTTGTTGCTCTCATTCCTCTAATGAATATTGTGGAATTTCTAAGCACGGGATAGGTGGGTTTATGCATTGTCCATCCTTCAAGCCCAAAGAACTCTTGCGTTAGGAGACGTGTTAAAAATATAATATAAAAATCATTCATATATCTTCACCTAATAGCTTAATTCATGACATAGGCTATCCTTCAAATTGATCATCACCACTCTAAATGCTTGCTTATTTAAGAACTAAATACATCCATCACAAGAACTCATGGACTAATTTCCCAATCAAGTACCATATATATTTCAGAAAATATATTTTGAATGATTGTACCTGACAGAAGCATTATTGGTAAAAGATAAACACACTTCAAGGCACAATAGTTTCCTTACTCAATTCCAAACTAATGTATGGTATATGTGGTAATTGGGCTGCTAGGATTGAGAAAAATCCATCCTTCACCTTAAAATATACTTTATGAGCCTACAGTAGCCTTTTCTCTATAAAGTTAGACCATTAATAAACTTCATTATTTGGGCAATAAAAAAGTCACATTAATAAACACAAAACCCAAGAAAACATATCTGAATATAAATAAGTAGACATAAATGATGATAGAAGTATCCAAATACAAATTAAAAAATAATACAAATCTCAGAAATTTTTCTGTTCAAATGCATTACAGTTAAATATCTTCAGTAAACTCTCACCTTCGGCATTTTTAACAAGAAGTACCTAATCAATAATATTTATGCAGCAAATATAATAGATGTCATAGTTCACATTCACACATTCAATATATCCACCAAGATGAGAAGATGTACCAAGTTAAGAAGTGTAGCCAAAATTTCTGGAGGAATATGCGGAGATGAAAAGGCCATCTCTAAATTCCGAACCAACTGTTTCTGGCTAGTCTCGTTTAGCTGTGCCCAACAGCTGACAAATCCAGCTGCAAACAATTCTCGCCCAACAAAAGGCTGTAAAACACAGAGACAAGAAGTGAAATAGGATATAAAACACTAATGCCAAAATGAATAATATCAATAGCCAATGAAACCTGCAATTGTGCAAGCCTAGCACAGGTTCGTAAGGCTGGAGAAGGAGATTCCTTTAGAAGTTGAATGCTAAAATGCCTCATCCATTCTGCCCAGTCTTCCTTAGTACTTCGCTGAGAAGCCTCCCCAGCAGTCCGTAGTCGACCATCATTAACCTGTATGGACAGAAAAATGACAAGTAGAGTACTTAGACTCTTCTGAACTGTATTTCTGTAAATCTTATTTCCGGATTCCAGTTCCCAACACTCCAAACTTGTAAGTCTAAGCTACCCTCTAATGTGCAATCTTTCAATAGGACAACAGTGCTTAGTATAATTAGTACAAATGATTTGTTGCAGGTTCACCGACAGAACAAAGCTCTCTGCTATGTACTGGGTATTTCTGATTATCAGACTAGAAGCTATATATTTTTACATGTCAAGCTGCATGATATTTGCAGTGCAGACTCCGTTTTTGGAGAATGTTGAATATATTCATAAAGTTTGGATCTTGTATGTCATTTCAATAGCTTTGCAAGGAGTAAAGAGAGTGAGGCTCTTATGCGGTGTGCAATGGACCAATGTGTTATAAACTAATAATTTGGTGCTTGTAGTGGGAAAAGAAAGCCGTAAACTTTTCTGTTGCCACTTTTAAGAGATGAAGTAGTCTTAAACTTTATATGGTCCTAAATCTTAGGGTGAGCATAAATCAGAAAAAATCCGACTGACACAAAATTAATAATTCCATATTGGATTGATTGTACAAATATGTTGATAATCAGTCAGCATCAGATGTATTATTAAAAATATAGGTCGGTTACAGTTGTGATATATGAAACCCAAATGAATCTGAATTCAGCCGAAACATGATTCTATTTGTTTTTTCTAGACTTTTCTGTAATCTTTACGTCACAGCATTTCTCCTTTTACTTGTATCTTTTTCTTCCTCAGCATTACTTTACTAATTCCCATTTCACTAATTTTTTTCTTTGTTTCATTTATTATTTTTCATTATGTACCCAGCTCTTGAGTTTTTCACATACCATATCTTTATCTCACTTTCTCTCAGCTGGAAAAGGGCTTTGCATATTGTGTATCTCTCCTAACTCTTAATTAACACATCAACACACCAGCCTGATATCATCAATCTTCGGTGGTTTGGGAACTTTTGCTTTCTTGTACGCCAAGTGCCTACCTAAGTTGCAATAGAGCACCTTTCTTACTTGCACTGGAGGTGGTTATAGCTATTGCAGCTATAGAATGCAGAACTTCAGACGAAGCTTTTGCATTTGAAAAAAAAAATGCCAAAGTTCGGCCTGTGATTTGAAGATGTGATTTTTTGTGTAAACATGTAAATTCTTGGAGAAATGAAAATTTCATTCATCCATTCAGGGTGAGCTTTGAAAAAAAGTGCTTCTATGATATAGCTTTTTTTCAAAAGCTACTATTTTAGCTTTTGAAAAAAAAAACTGTAAAACTGCCTTTCTTATGTTTTTTTCATAAAAAAGCTTACCGATTATCTTGAAATTGAAGTTTTATCTTTTAGTTAAAAAAGCATTTTTTCCTTAAAAAAATCTCAAACAAACAGGCTCTCAATTTAGTAGAAGAAATTGTTGCTCTGAATTAAGTTCTTGAATTCTTTTTCATTTTGGTTTTGTAAAATGTAAATTATCAAGGCAAGACGTCAGGTTCAAAATTCAATTGTGGATTGCCACCTGCGCGGCCAACCCTAAGAAACGCTATAGCGGATTGCGGAAATAGCGGAATAATAGAACCTCTCTCTCTCTCTCTCTCTCTCTCTCTCTCTCTCTCTCTCTCTATATCTATATATATATATATATATATATATATAATTGCTATATTCTTTATTATATTTAAGAAAATGCTATATTCTTTATTATATTTAAAGAATATATTTTAAAAATAGTAATATGATAATAAGTCATTTTTTTACATATAATAAAGAATATAGCAATTATATATATATATATACTAAAACATAAAAACATTCATTCACAATAAAAAAAACAGTAATATGATAATAAGCCATTTTCTTAAATATAATAAAAAATATAGCAATTATATAAGAGCTATTTTTTAAAGTATATTATAACCAATAGTAAATTTAACATACTTGGACAGAATCTTTTAAGTTTACTAAACCCCAGGTTTTTGTTTTTTGTCCTGATATTTAATTTTTCCTTAGACAGAGACAGAATCGTTAGGTTACATTTTTCTTATCCCTAAGGGTGACATCAGTGGTATGTGCAATAATGTTGACAGCAGGATGAAAATGATAGTTGGACCCAGCTTGACTTTGGTACAAGCCTAAACCAAAATACTGACGTGGCTAAAGATGTGGCCATTATTGGTGATAAGTTGGAGTGGGTGGCTCCAATTGATTGGGTTGGTACAAATGGTAAAAAATTTAAAAAAAAAAAAAAAATGCCAGAAAAAAATTAAAAACAAAAGATGATATAAAGAAATAAAAAAAAAAGCCAGAAAAAAAATAAAATAAAAGATGCCAGAGACAGAGAGCGAGCGCGAAAGAGAGAGAGGAAATAACAAAACAGGCCAGAGAAATAGAGAGAGGAAACCATAGCAAAGAGCAAGAGAGCACGCGATAGAGAGAGGAAGCCAAAGCAGAGAGCAAGAGACAGCACAAAACTATGATGCAGCTTCGCGCGCAGAGATAGAGTGGAAAGGGGCAACTTCATGCGACAGGAAGGAGTGGGTTGGGGTTAAATAAAACGACTAAAAACCCACATCCAGCTATTTGCCTGCAAAATTTCCACAATTTGACCGCAAAAGCAGACGCAATGTCTGCAATTCCTTTCTGGCGCGGCGCGGAGTCTGTTCTTGCGGTGGGCCACCGCAACCCGCATCCAGCGCGGCTTGCGGCGCAATAGCGCCGCTATTAACTACTATGCGTAAACCAATGTTCATCAGAACACTTCATGTTATCATAAGCAGTCAACAGGGAGTTAGCGTTTCAACACCCAAACTTTCTTGGTCAGTTTGAACTTTGACTAAAAAGCCATGGGAAGCATGCCCAGTACCTATATTTCTCAGTGAACTAAGGCAAGAATAAATGGACAAAAAAACTTTACAACTCATTACAAGAGGGTACCTGATGGCCTCTGAGTCTGTGAGCATCAGATCCATCATCATATGGATCAACCTCCACATCCTCTAAAGGATCACTAATGACCTCAACGGGAAGCTTACGGTTCAGTCTTTGAGAAGCTGTGATTCCAAGGATTAGTGGTTCACGTCTCTTTAAACGCCCTTCAATTTCCTCAAATTCCTTGTGCTGCAGTAATATATTACTTAAAGATTTTTAAGACAAAAAATTTGATTTCACATATCAAGGGAAAAAAGTAAAAAAATAAACATGGAAAAGCTCAAGACCCGCAAGCGGTATTTCAGTAGTAGTTTGTGTATTGATGGAATAAAAATTGTGAAATCCTCGCCAAGGGCATGAGCCAGACAACAAAGTGCATCAACAGCATCCTTTCGGAGCTCATCATTTTTCCTGTAAATGAGAAGTACATTTGATAGACATCGCCATATCAAGGAACAAAGAAGAATGTAAAGATGAAATGAACAAGAATTGAGAGAGAAAATGAGCAACACAATTGATCAAAAGAATTCAAAAATAGTATAATCAGCTATTTTCAGTGGCAAATATCAATCACTTAAAATGATATGACAAATTTATATAATCCAAGGAAGACTATTATAAGCAGATAATATAAAACGGGAACAAGGAAGCAGAGAACAATCTCAGAATTCTCCACAAATAGCATTCGATAATAAGCTGCCATCCTGAGATAGATAGCATGAATTTATAGGTTATTCAAAGGACCACCTTAAATCTATAAATACAAGCAACCCAAACTTAGAACTCAAGGAAACCTAACGTACAATAAGAGATAAATCCCTAAATTCCCAAATTATTGATAATAAATCCCTAAATCCTCAATTAAAAAACCCTAAGTTCCAATTTACAATTACTTAATAAATTAAAATAATAATTATAAATATGATTTCCTCATGGTGCATCATTCTCCCAGTGTTGGATAACAAGCTGCCAAGGAGTTTTAGCAATTCCTTCAGGCATAATCCCCCACGTGATTAAAATACTAAGATTGAACAAGGCTCACAGTAGTAGCAAAAGGTAGTTCCACCCAGTGTTTTTGTCCGAGCCTGGTCGACCCAGGTTTCGGTAACTCGGTGCCCTCACCGGTTCGAGCTTGGCATCAGATGGGTTATGCACTCGAACCGGACCAAAACCAGGTTCAACCGGTGTTGAACCAGTTTTCTGTTAAATTGTGTAAAATATATACATTTTGCAAGCAACAGATTCGAACTTGAGTCCCCTTGTTTGAGGATCGAAAGGCTTACCACTAGACTACTTTTATTTGTTGGACATAATATTCATAATTTAATATTTATTATATATTATTTTGAAATCCGGTTGAACCAGTGACCCAGTACTTCGATCGAGTCGATGACCGGTCCAAGTTTTAAAACACTGGTTCCACCAATAATTCAGAATGAACTTTTGCCTAAGGAGTAAGGATTGCATATATTTGCAAACCTTGGCTTCACAGTTCACAATTTGCTTTGACATAAATCTCTATAGTCATTATAACATGTACAATTTTGAAATTTTAGATATTAGGGACTCACCCATCTAAAACTAGCTTCAAGTGATGTACAAGAGAGGATATATGACCAGTGACCTGATGATAAACGGGAAAAGGATCAAAAAGAAGACTAGAACAATCAAGACCAAACAAGATGTTATCTAGCATAAATAAATCCAAATTTAAAAATTTGCGGATAAATAGAAGTAAGCACAGTAACAAACGTGCACACGGGGGATCAATCTTGTCAAAGTTTTAATTGCAGCGCGTCTTATGTCTACTGAGGCATCCACTTTAAATAATCGTATAAGAGCAGGAAGAAGTAGATGCATATGCTCATCCAAAGTCCCTATATAACCAAGAACAAAATTGTCATGGTTTGCCATTTCTGGCCACAACAATAACACATGTTATAATCTCATTTTGTACAGTAACACAAAACTGATAATATAAAACCTGTTTTTACTAACAGTGGCAGTCACAATTTTCTTTCTTTTGAATTTCATGTTTATTTCAAAATTATTAGCATGTCAGCACCAATCCTTTAATAATTTACAAAATCTTACAAGTTTTGGGAGCAGAAGGGATAAGTTGAACATGACCATAAGTTGAAGGGGTCTTGTGTGATTCAGCGCTTAAATAAAAATACACACAATATGCTACTGGTACTAACCACCAAACACTTCTAGAGTGTGAAGAATATCAAGAACATAGGTGTAGTCATTGCACCGTTCTGCATCACTAATGACCTGAATACAACCAGGCAGAATAACTGGAAGATATGTTCTAAATTCATCGTTAAGAGCCAAGCAAAGTTGTTCCACCAGGTGAAGAACCTGTAACATTCAAGAATATAAAAAATAAGAATCATAAACCACAAGAACACATCCCTAGGTTATTCTAACTAAATTGTAGAAGTGGAAACACTAACTGGATAGCCAAGGACAGGATGAGCTGGTGCTGGAAGAGTGAATAATGACCAAAATTCTGATATTAAAGAAAGCAAATCTTGCAAATATTTACGAATGTGCTGCACAACAACATCAAATCGAACATGTAAGCAGAATAGAAAATAATGATCATACAAACATTGGACATATTTTGAATGCACTAAAACCTACCTGGCGCACAATAGACACCAGAGTTCCTAGCTTCCACGTTATAAAGTCCTTTAAACTATCTTCACATGTACGAACAGTATGAAAGAGATCAGGCAAAACCTACAAGAAAGAAAAGGAAAAAGCCATTGAACAATTAAGGAAAATCAATTCCACCACCCCAATTACCATAATTCATAAAATGAATTCAAATGCCATAAATAAGTACTAAGATGCGAAGACAGACACAAAACAACAATGAACTTAGACTTAAAGAAGGTGGAAGAAAGTAAGGACCATTACAAATGTAAGCTTCAGAACTAACCTTTGGCAAGTACGGAACACAGCCAAGTCCCATTGACTGACCTCACAAACAAAAACACAATCAAATTGGCAACGAATATCAGTAATGTATGAAAGAATTACTGTAACAATATCCAACTAATGAAAGACAACACTTAAATATTCTCCAGTACCAAAAATTATATCAAAATAAGGAAATCGAAATAGTAAGCTTCTTATATCAAATATTAGTATTTCATCAGTGTGCATCAAAAATTCACGCTCACATCAAAATTCTGCCATATGCAACAATAAAAAATATTGAACATTTCTATTCAAAGCTTTCTTTACCAAATTTGACATACTGGGTAAGAGTGAATTATAGTGTGGCGCACATGCCTAAATAACTAATATTTAGTACTACTTGCTTTTGATCTAAGGTGGCTTTTTAGGCGGTAATGGTAGGGAGGTCATGGGCTCTCAATTATTGAGTACATAGATCGAGATTAACCTCATGAAAGTTTTCAGTAACTTGGTGAGATTGAAGAAAGAAAATAACTTCAACCAAAGAAGGTTCAAGCTCTTGTCCCCCTTAAAATTTGGGGTCTTCCACTCATTCCTTCATCAATATTTGTGAGTAACATTTACGTAAAGTTGCAGGGAGAGAAGTAAACTAAACAGAAAGAGGCAACAACTCTTTATTCTTGTTTTCCTTTTTATAAAAGAAGAACTCATTAAGAAACAGAGTCAAAATCAGGAGGATCTCAAATACTTCCAAGGCTACACCGAAAACAATAGGTTTGAAAAAAACACACACAAGAGACAATGCCTCTTTCATGCTTGCATACCTTGAATATAAACATAAGAGACCCAACCACCTTTAAGTGGTAACTAGCAAGTGAAGGATCCCTCAATATACGCATGAGAGAATTAATTGCAACCTGAAATCATAAAGAATATATCATAAATATCAAAACAAGTGGGAACAAATCAAAACATTAACAAGGAATGTTAAAGTGCTACCGTGGAATAATAGTCATCTGATGAAGCAAAAGAAGGCCACAAGTCCATGGGAAATTCATCCATAGACTGAATCTGTTGATTTGAATCACTAGCAGGGCGGGTAACTTCTCCGTGAGGCCCTGGCAATGTTTTTTGATTTCGTTTATGCAAATGAGGATCCAGAGCACCCATAATCCCAAGAACCTGGCGGAACCCAAGTATGTTTTAATCACACATACATGCCTGAATTATAAAGAAATATCTACTTAATTCTTACTATTACCTTTAATACTTCCCGTCTGGTGGACCACACTAGTTCACCATTCAGTAATTTTAAAAGTAACCCAAGTAATTGTGGATACTCATTATATGGAGTTATCACATACCTGTCAAAATAGTGTCACAAATTTGAACTACATTAGTGTAAAACAAATTTACTTTATTCTTCATATGATCTCCACATCCAGAATAATACATAAACCTTTCAAAACTAAATATGAAATTTAAAATACAAAATCTTAGAATGTAAAAAAGTGCACATAGATGCAACAGCTTAAACTTTTATTCTTTTTGGTATACAGTCATAACATTTTGTTAATGGAAAAAATCCCCAAATAAGTCATAAAGATGCACAAAGCAACGTATACTTATTCTATATATTAACAAAAACAAACATGTGCATACCCAGTGCTCTGTACAACTTGACCAAGAGTAGCAACAGCTACTTCACGTTTGGAGACAGCTGCTCCATCCAACAAAGCTTCAACAATTAAAGGCATAAGTTCAGGAATGTATTGCCTCATTGCAAAACCACCCTAAACAGAGACACAATCTAAATAAGTTGGTTACCAATAAATATAAAAAACAAGCATCCAAAGGAGACAAATTTACTAACCACCCTGGCAAGATCTCCCACGGTTACAAGGACTCCGCTAATGATTCCAGTATTGGCATTAACATCAACAAGTCTCGCCACCAGTGCCTGATATAATTTGAAAATCACTGAGAAGATACCAAATAAAAAAGAACATGAATGTATCTTTAACACTACAACTTCTAAAACCTTATGAATTGGAGCAATGTATGGAAGTATTAGCCGTTCACAATTCCTTATCAAACAGCCAATCAACTTCGCACTTTCTTCTTTGCATTTGCTATCTGCACTGCTGACATAGGAAGACAATAAAATGGACATGGAATAGAAAAGTTCTTTGTTCTATCCATGCACCCCATAACAATAATCTTTTGAAATATCTGCATAATCTACCAATCAAATAAACACTTAAAATTACCTCTGCTCTAAGTATGTTAACAACTGTATAAGATGGCGACGAAGAGCTGGAAGAACATATGCAGGATTTTTCTCTGATAACCTTCCAGCCACAGAAATTGCGTACTCTCTAACATCAAAATGCTGCAGAACTACTCTTTAATATCAACAGGATGTAACAAAATGAAGTTTCAAGAGCAAATTACTGGAAAATAAATTCATAGTCCCTACTAAAGTGTACAGGAGCAATGATGATAAATCATAACCACAACGTTACCAGGGTAAGGTGGTAGGATGTCCAATCTCTGCATACTTTTTCTTAATGAATGAATAACACAATTTTGTCCAAATATAATGGGATTATAATTTAAAAAGTGAAGGAAAATATAAAATTTCACCACCAAACACAACATAGTGCTTAACAAACCTGACAAAAAAAAGCCCTTAAAGCTGTGTAACAACGTGTATATCAATGTAACATCTTCTGAAGCATAACAGGTAAATATAATTCCCCAAGATACCTAGCAACCACCCTTGCAATAAAACTTAACATCCTACACAACTGCCTAGATAAGAATCAGCCAATGGAGCCTAATGCAAGACTAAACAGGGAATCAAAATCTAAGGGCCACATAGCATGACATCTTCAAAATACAAGGTATCTAGTCTAGTTATACCTCATCATTTAAAGCGGCAAATACTGCACTCAGATTGTCAGCCTGTGCCAAATATTCATCAAAACCTCTATCTCCATGGAGAGAAGCAAAGATAGACCGGCGAACGGTAACATCAGCATCTGCAACAGCAGATATGAGAAGCTTCTCCACAAGCTGCAGAAAGCCAAAAATCAGTTAGCAACAGGCATGTCATACATCACCACATAAAAGTAATAAACTGTGAATTTTAATTGTTTGCTTTTATAATATTTCTCATGATTCATGGTTAAATTTTGTTAGAAGGCATATTCTTAATAAGTTTCATGTTGCAGACTAGGTGTTTTATATTATTTTTCCTTGGCTTTGCCTTTAGTCCCTTTATTATCCTTTTACTGAGAGATTTCAAAGGGAGACATTTTTTGGTTGATGTATGCTTTACAATAATGGTTGCACAAAGAGTAGATGCATTGGATGTGAGGATTGTTGAAGTGGATGTATCAATCAAACCACATGAAACTACGTTGCAGAATCACGATGCAACGATGAAAAGTCATTCCTTGCTATTAGAAGAACATTCAACCAACCTCGCCTCACTCATCACTAGTGTAGGAGATATCACGAAGTCCCTAGAGACCTTGCACACTAAACTTCGAGAAGGTTTTTGCAAACAACATTCCGGGTTTCATCCTTTGCAAAATATGGGGTAAATGATAAATATGGTGGAACGGAACCAAATTATACAATACTGCGTAATTCTCATAATGAGGATTGTAGAATGACAGCCAAGAAAGTTGAATTACCAGTATTTTCTGGAGTTGATCCAATGTGATGGTGGTACGCGTTGAAGTATATTTTGATGTACAAAGAACACCATTGGAAATTCGGGTTCAATTTGCTCAAATCTGTATGGAGGGAATTACATGGTACTCATTTAAAGTAGTCAAAGAATCCGATCCACAAATAGGATGGGAGATTTTTAAGTGCGCCCTTTTTGAACGCTATGGAGAAAAGCATTAGGCAAATCCTTTTCCACAACTTAAGGTTTTGACACAGAAAGGATCAGCTGATGATTAGGTGGAAAAATTTGAAACCGCACAAGTTCCACCAATGCCAGAAGAGTAATACCAAGGGCTGTTTTTTTTTTCTTTTCTTTTTTTTTGGGGGGGGGGGGGGGGGGGGTTGTTAAAGGATGATATTCGTTTGGAGGTTCTCGCCATGGATGTTAACGACAAATATAAGACCATTTTTGCAGCTAAGTTGGTAGAACAAAAGTTAAGACGGTACAGGAACACAGAAGCAAGCAAATGGTGGGGGCGAGCAGAGTGGGTATCAAAGAAATGCTGTGAACACAAGTCATACGCAACAGGGGGAAGAAATTTTGAATCAGAAATCAAATTTGATCCCAACAAGTTAGCATCGCAACAGTCTGGATGTGTTGATAAACCTACAAAGTCTAAGGATAAGTCCACAGGAGAGACACACCATTGAGTATGCAATTTATCCTACCAAGAATTGATGGATCGTATACCAAAAAGAATGTTTCAAGTAGGGACAAACCTATTGTCCTACACACCAATATCCTGACAAGTAATTAAGATTCTTAATTTGGGAGAAGAAGAGCAAATAGGTTCCCCGGACGTGGGAAGAAGCTACATGGGAAAGCCTCACATAACATCAAGAACCAATTTCCAGCTTTTTGCCTTGAGGACAAAGCAGAATTTAGGTAGGGTGGAATTGATAGGAATGCAACACTTGTAACTGCTAGTAACTGCTAAAATCAAATTAGTGTTCAATTATTTTAGGATTTACTTTTAAAAGCGGGTGTGATCAATTTTTTAGAATGTAAGACTTGTAACTGCTAATAACTGTCATTAGGTATTGCACTGCGTGTTCTGTATATAGGAGTAGTTTATAGCATAGTTTGGGTATGTGAGTATATCTGTATTAGTTTGACTAAGAGGCAAGGGGATCTATTCCTTTGCAGGGAGCATTTGCTCTAAATTTTTTTGTAATTTCTCTGTTGTTGATATAAAATTCTCCCCATCTCTAGACAGGGAGTTATTCCTATCAGACCATCTAGAACATGGGGAAAAAAAAGGGTCTAACCCTCCTCGACGCTAATAGCTCTTCACTACTCCATCTTGAGACACACTATCTGTCAATTTATTCCTCTCACTCCATTAAGTCTTATTTTACTAATTCCCAAGTTTTAGCGACCTCTTACTCTCTTTGTGTCATGTTCTTTTGGCAACAAACATTTATTCTCATGGGAGCATCTCAGGTCTTCGAATAAGAGAACATGACAGAACAAAGGTGCGGAACTCGAATAGCTACAAAGAGCCCCCTAGACCAGCCAAAATTTTGAGAACAAAGGCAGGACGGGATGAGAAAAATGGCAAAGCACAAATGGCCAAGGGTTGCTAGAAAGCAGTTGGACAACAAAAGAAGACAGCCACTACAAGCAATGCTGTTTCGAAACCAGATTGGTATGCACGATGGAGTGCTTGGCCGAAAAGACCACGAATGACAAAAATCAGACAAACACTCTGAAATTCCCCAAATCACCAATTCGGAGGGGGAGGCTTGCACTCCAACCCTAAATCACAACGAAAATCACCAAAATGTTTTGCCTCAATATGGGCTCGCGTTGGCTGTGACATCAATATATGATACAATGCTCTATGCATCGTTCGGAGGCCACATGACACCACAAAACTTGATTGACTACTCTAGGCCATCATGAACCACAATCCCAAGCAACTCAAATCAATACCCAAGGTCACCTCTAAACTCATCAAAAAGCTATCCACAACCACCCAAGCAACACACCTCCATAAGACCAACAACCTCCTTCGGTCCTAAGCAATAAAACCAGCTATCATTCCTCGTGTCCAGCAACACTCAAAAGCTGACACCCAAAACCAAAACTTCAGTCAAAAGCTATTACCGGAGTTCACTCTCCCTTGCAATCCCTCACGCGCCATTATTGCCTGACCTAACTTCTACCCTTGCGGGACCCAAACCATGCTCCCAAAACCAAAAATCATACTCAATAAATCAACTAATATCCACCTAAACAACACCAAACAGCCCAACTCCCCAGCAACAGATAACACTGGGATTAAAGCTAAACAAACATTGTTTTCACATTCAAGCTCCATGAACCAAAACAAAGGACAATAAGGAGTCTAATTAAAATAATGAAAAGCTGTCTCGACTCTCCACTTATAATTTCTAAGAGCTTACCTAGGTTCATCGTACACAATAAAATTCCAAACCGAAATCATAGCAAGCCAAAATCCTATCCAAGTTAAGCATCAAATGGGCATAACCAAAGCAAAGGACAATAAGGAGTCTAATTAAAAAAAGCTTCTTAACATGTGGGTTCCTAAAATCAAAAATTTCAAGAAATAGTGGAGACAGAATTGGAAATACGTATTCAAAAGGAAAGTAAAAAACGGATATGAAATGTATCAAAAATAAAATATTAGTATACAGCAAACCTCTTCGACAAGGCGGCGGCGCTTTCCCCCTGATCGAGTCAATCTGCTAGAACCAAAATGCACACATGCTATACCAGAGAAAGAATTAGCAATTAATTTGCAACAACATAGAGCTGCATCTTTTCGTGTAGCTGCATCCTCATCATCTAAATAGACAACAACTGATTCTCTAGCAAACTCAAGTAGTTCATAGCCCTATATCAACAGAATAAATTGAGGTTACAACCTCTGGCCATTTTCCAATGAATGACTTATAAATACTTCAAAACAAAGTGAAGATTCTAATAAATCTGACAGAGGTTCATTATAGAAAGTGAGCATACAGAACCTTAAAGTTAAAAGAACCAAGAGTCTGCAATGCAAGTTGTATAAGAGCGGAACCACTAAGCTCTGAAACTTGCTGAGGCACATTCATCATTGTTCCTCTACCAATGCTTTGGGCAGGCCTCCCCAGATGATAATGGGATTTAGAAAGAACCATAGATATGCTGTCGAGCAACCGGTCTTGAATAGTTGGCAGCAGAGATGGAATGCTGAGTAACAATGACACAAATACAAAATGCCTTTAAAATTAATCACTAGAAAGGTGGAAGACTTTGTTCCAAACCAGCCATGTACCTGGTACTTATTTGCTCAAGAGCCTCCACAAGTACAGTTGAAAGACCAGTAGAAAACATAATATCCAGAAGTCCTCGGACATGAGGTTCCATCACAGGCCCCATTGCTTTTGCAATACTTCCAACACAAGCCAAAGCCTCAAGCGAAGGTTTACTCCTACGTGGAGCAATCTATATTCATAAAATGTCTAAACTGTCAAATCATATCCTTGTAACACATTATAGAGCCCAAAAAAAAAAAAAATCACCTAATTGGAAATGTAACATGCAAAAAGATAAATTATGGCATAGGACTGGCAACCAAAAACAGTTACTGTAACATACCGCCTCACGTAAGTGAGTAGTTATAGTCGGCAAATAATGGACGAGTTCCCCATCCAGTGCTCCAGCCATTTCTCCAAGAGCAATGAACCCACTATCACGATCTTGAGGTATTTTCAAGACAGAAAGAATATGATTCATGCATATCTGCAAGGAATTACATCTCCATAGGCACTCAAATAAGTTAACTTTTGAAATTACTCAAAAGCCACCATTCTCAATGGTCATACTCCCAATTTAAAAAGCATAGTTGAGTAATAAGGTAAAGTTAACATACTGTTAAGTAGTTAGTAACAAATCGATCACGCAGAAAATGTGCTATTCGAGGTAGCAATGAAGTTATGCTCAGGCGAACAAGCCGGTCCCGGTGCTCTAGGTATCTAAGAACAATGTCAGCAACTTCTCGGTATCTTGACATCATGAACTCACCAGTATTCCTGCCAAGCAAAATTTACAAATCAATCAATTACAAAATAATAAGATTGAAAATTAGTATCTGACTATCTGACACTAATTTCACTATAGTAGTTAAAAGAAAAAGATAAATTCATTACAGTAAACCAAATCCAGCCTTCTATTATTGGCCGCGACGAAAAAAGGTAGAATTTTGCTAATAATTGTACTAGACCCAATGGGCATAATTGGCTATCTTTTACTTTTTTAATAAATTAATTATTTGACTTCTAATTTTCCACACGGGTTGACAATATTAATCCCTAACATTGGGCATGTTAAGAACATATTACACTTGGTTGATGACAGAACATACTAAATCCAAGAGTGATGAAATCAAATTGTAGTTGGCTGATGATAACCAAATTCAAAGGGATTCTACAAGCTTCATCAAGAGAAGACAGGCAATAAAAAGAACAAAGTTGGATTTCTTTACAATAAATTAGCTCAAAAATCAAATAGTTCTAAGTATGATCAAAGTCCAGTATGGTTCTAATAGGTTCATTGATGCCATAATCTGTCAAAACTTTCTTTCAGCAGTAAAATATAATAGTAGTTATTAACAACTCTCATTCCATTATCACATTTGCTAAGAATAAATGTATTAAAACAGAGATTTTTCCAATGCACATTTTATAAAGACAGAACATCAGTAACAGACTGAGTTGACTAGTACCAGTGCTTAAATAAACCAAGCAACAATTTCCAAGCTTGCAGACATTGTGAACATAAATTTATTTATGTATTTTCCCTATGCACAGAAGCATATAATAATGCTCACTAAAAATGGACAAGATTTGTCAAGAAAGCTAGCTTGAAAAAATCACAAAACTTCTACTCATCAACAATGCAAAATTTGAAAATTATGTTAACCTCAAAAGCTCTCCAACAGCAAGCAGAGAACCATGTATGCTGTGTACTGGGGCAGTTTTACCCAATCCATCTTGTGTTGCCTCAAACATTCGATAGTACCTGCCATCAAATAAAAAATACAGTACTTAGTCTCCAGTAGGGACGTATTGTGCAATAAATGATTAAAGCAAGGTAAGCATGCTGTGAGATGAAAGTCAGTAAAAATCAGATGTCCCAAAGGCAATGACATACTTATTCTAGTCAAAACCCTCCTAAAAACACTGCTCTATCCCTCAACATTAGCCTCTTCACAATCCATGTGGATTCAGATTACTAAAGATATACTCCCTCTACTGTCATTATGCACAAGCCAATTTTATTATACTATTGCTAACAGGCCCAGCCCATATTTTTCACTAGCACCACGGAGGACATATAAGACAAACTAAACAACCAAATGAATTTATGCCAAAATTTGTGCCATTTATTACAGCAGAACCAAAGCGAAGACTGTGAGGCACTCCTTGCTTTTGACAATGATACATAAGCTGCTTCCGGCAGCAGGCTAGGCTTATACTATAATCAACTAAATAAAACTGAAATTTAACAGCACCAAGTAGAGACAAATGATCTTAAATATCTGCCATAATTATTCACAACTTGGACAAGAACTTCAGCTCAGAGTTCAGAGTCTAATCATTAGTTCATTCTAGTCAAATTCATTATAGCTGGCAGGCAGTTAAATAGTCTAACTACTACACAAATAACCTCTGATGGTTCAAACTCTTTAGTAAAAAAGAATTTCATTATATTTCATTTAGTCCAGATCTCCAAGCACATCAAATGTCGCCAATGGCAACATAGCTGACAAAATAGTATTACTACCCTTATCATAGCTATATATGTTACACCTAAAAAGTAAGAACTAACCACTGCACACGCCAGCGTGTCTCGCGCTTTTCAATAACACGAAGGCAGGCACGCAATGCTTCCACAGCCCGCTCGCGAACTGGCAATGCTGGATCTCTCAAAGCAGCCCAGATAGCGTCAACAAATTCGGGCACATGGACATTGAAAACAGTTGAAGCATTTTCTGCCATTTCCTGCAAAGACCAAAATCAAAAGATAGTGCATATGCTTAGGAATAGTGAGATTCCAAAGATGTGAGAGAGCATGGAACACAATCAGACTTCATCGTTGAAAGAATTTGTTAACAAAAAAAATTCAAAATAATAATAATAATAATAATAATAATAACTCTCCAACTAGAAAATGAATATCAGGAATCGAAGCCTCCATCAATTGTCACCAAAAATACTAATAATGGCACTTACTTTCAAGATTAAGACAGCAGCAAATCGACGATACTCCACTCTAGTCCCTTGAAGCCAATCGAGAGCAATTTTAACCTAAAAAAATAAGAAAAATGAGCAGACTCAAAGGAGAGAGAGAGAGAGAGGCATAATATGAATAGAGAAAAAAGGTGCAGCAACCTGGCGTTCAACTTCATCAGCAGTCATAGCTCCGCCCGCCCTAGCGAGGTGGCCAAGAACCCTACTAGCATGAACCAAAATCTCAGGATCACGTTTGGCCTCAAAGACAGTACGCATATAACTGGAAAATCTGGAGACCTTAGAAGCATTCTCCCCAAGCGCCACATCTATCAACTCATCAATAGCTCTCAGAGCTCCCAAATTCTCAGCAGGATCGCTGCTCTCCAGAAGGCTCGAGATCCGGTCATACAACTGATCCATGAAACGAAAAAAGGCTTCGCCGCTTAGGTCACGTGCTTCTTCCTCCAGATGCTTCTTCAAAGCTAGCGAAGCACCTTCCTGCGGAGAATCCTTCCAAATAAATTAGTGGTTCTTGTTCTAGTTGTGGCTAGCAAGCATGTAAGTGACTGACTGAACAGTGAAGTGCATATATTATTTAATTAAACGGGAAATTGAAGTAGTGAGTGGTGAGAAGTAGCAATACCTTGGGGTTGCCGCGGGTACAGAGGTCGGCAAGGATGCGGTTGAGAGCGTCGCCTGGTCCGACGGAAGGAGGGCCAATATAACGGTGGGTCTGAGAGGCGGTTGCCATTTTATTTGGCTAACCTAAGCCCCAAATTAAGTTAGTATAATTATTATGACTAGAGTAAACACCTATGCAATTTGGAATGGAGATTCTCACACATAGCATTTCGCCATGCCTGGGTGAGACTCAGACAAAGTACTTCTGTCTCTCCCAATCAAAACCAAATTGCCTTTATGGTTCGAAAATCGCCAATGGGTCCGTAAAAGGTTAACCCGACCCGTTCTATGAAAGCCCCCCGACTTGTCCTTAGTAGTTAGTGCCCTTCTTTTTTCTGGTTTGCACGAAATTAGTGTGTATTGTTTGGTGATATAAATAAGGGATTAGTGTGTGTCATTTAAAAGACACGATTGGTCATATTCTGTGTAATTCTAAAAAATTGTTTTTTTTTTATTTTACACCTCAGCGATGTGAATAAAGAGAGAAAATAAAAGCAACTTTTCAAATTTACACTTTGTGTAAATCATCTAAAAGGACACAACTTATATCCTTTAAAATGATGGTCTTTTTTCCCTATAAATAATGAGATTTTAAAGGATTTTAATGAATTATTTTTAGAAAAAAAACCATTGGTATTCAAATAAGATGTTAAATAATTGAAAAAAAAAATCACGTGGTATTCGATTAGGATTTTATAAAATTATTTTTAGAGTTCGTCCAAATTCGTTGGTATTTAATCAGTATTTTAAACAAAGAAAAAATAATCTTGGTATTAATGAATTTTCTATTAGTGTGAATTTCGTGAGACTTTTTAATGAGAAATATAATTAGTATGTTTTTATCACAATCTCACTCTAACCCCTACGATTTCTTGAGATTTATCTGTTACAGTGTTTTCTTCTTCTTTCGGTGGGTCGACCAGCTCGAAACCGAGTTCCTCCATGGGAGCTTCTAAGATATTTTTGAACGATTTCTATCACAAAACAACTCAAAAACAACAATCCAACAAGATTTTAATATAATTTATCTACAAAAATAGATTTTTGAGAGTTTTAAGAAATTTAAAAATAATTTTCAAACTATTGGTCGCGATTTTTTTTTTGCACAAAAAATATGTGATTTTTGTATTAAAAACAAAATAAAACAGTGAAAAAAATAGCAGGGAACGAAAACCCCTAAACCAAATTTTGTTTTACATCAATGAAACAAGATCGATTTAAATAAAGATTAAAACATGAACCTTATGTTTCATAATAATACATTCATGAAAGAAATTCATTCGCTATAGGAAACGATTTCAAACAATTTTTGTGTCAATAGATAACTAAAAACTTATTATTTAAAAGCTCCAAAGCAATTTAAGATTTCAATATATAGATTGAAAATAACATGAGAAATTTTCTAAACTTTAATATAATAAAATCCAAAGTTTAATATTCTAATTTTCTTGTAATACTCAGTAAAAACATGCATATGATATATATAGTTGAAAAACTCTTATCACGTAGAATAAAACTCCAAGATTTACAAGATCAATTGCAAAAATTTCCAAATGAATTTTTATCATAAATTCTACTGATTGAGAAAATTATATTAGGTTTAACTTTTTTTATTAATATAATTGTATTTCTTTGTTATTTTTTTATTGACTCTTGTAATTTGAATGTTTGTTAAAAGTTCATATGGTATTTTAAAATCTTATAAATTCTATTAAAATCATTTAAAGTCCAATCTTATGAAATTTTGATTGTAAAATAAAAATCTTTAAAGTCTCTCCAATTCTAAATAGTCTTTTAAAATTTATAAGTTTTTTTATCTTAAAAAAGTCTTTTAAATATAATCTACTTTTATTCCTCTTAAAATTTGAAACAAATATAATTTCATTTATTTAACTATTAAAAATCACAATTATTTTTGTTTAAATTATAACAAAATATTTCCTACTTATTTATCATTAACAATGTAACACTATTTTTCAAAATAATGGGATTGACATTATTTTAGTAAATATTAAAAAATTTACATTGGATAAAAATTGACCTGATTAAAAAAAAAAAATTGGTATAAAACCCAATTCAGTTTTTTGGTTGAAGTAAAAATGTAGGAATTTGCATTTTTACTGTTTTTATGTTTGTGCACGAAGTTTTTACCAATTTTTATTGAGGAGAATTTTTATTTATTTTTTAACATGTATCACTTCAGTAAAAATATAAAAACCTAAATTTTTACAATTTTACACTAATTTTTGACAACAATAATATTCACAAACAAGGCAAACCAATCCTGGGAGGATATTTTTTCTTATCAAAGGTACAATATTAATGTTCCTTCCGGTAATAGCAAAATAATCAAATAAATAAATTAGATATACTGATGACTCCCTTTTAGAATAATTATAATCAAAGAAAAGACATCTGTTATAGAATGAATAGATGACAGATAATGAGTCAAGGAAGTTATTGTAAATATTAGGGGGTTACACACAATAATTAATAACCCTTATACATAACCTCGTTTATCTATAAAAAAATTTCATTTTTCTTTATCATTTTAAAATTAAATTTAACAAACCAAAAATTTTAAATTCATAACATGTTTTATATGTATTAAATATGTATTAGTTAGGTTTACCAAAAAAAAATATGTATTAGTTATGGAATCTTTAAATAATAATTTAAAAAGATATTAAAACTTTTTTATAAGAAATACTTATATTACACGGTCTGCTAAATAATTAAAGATATCTTTATATGTTTACCAAACAAAAAAAGACTACAATAATTTTAAATAAATTATAATTTTTTTCTAAAACTGGAAGTTTTTAATTAATGTATTCTTATATTTTAATTTAATTTTGTACCATAAAATATTCTTTTGTTAATTGGACCACTTTTTCTTAAAAAAAAAAATTAATGATATTTGTATATTTCGCTTATATTTAAGAATACATATGTAATTAATGCTGAATAAATTATAATTATTCATGTTATCCTTGATTCATAAATTAAACATAACACAAATAATAATAAATGTGTTATGCATTATTACGTATACTAAACTGAAATGATAGTTATTTTACGATTCTATTTAAGTGAAAATTAAACAATGAATAAGTCTTGATTGAATTTATAATTAAAACTAATTAGAATAAATTCTGCAACAAAATGTAGATAAATGGATACTTCAACATTATTTTTCTTTTGTTATAAAATTTAGGGTAAATTTCATAAAATCACCATGTAGTTAGTTTCCTTTTAAAATACCACCTTATACTTACAACTCAAACAATTCAGCGCACTAAACTTTGACATTGAAATAATTAAACATATTTATCATTTTTAAGACGAAAATACCCATAGTCTCACCTCATTCATCTGCCATGTCGTTAATTGCAAGTTTCTGAAATGCAGTTTCTGAATAACTTCAAAGCGCACAGAAATTCCAATACAATTAAAGAACAAAGCATTTGTGAAAGGAATGATTAAATCATCATAATAAAAGATTTAAGTTAACAACAAATAAATAAATAAATAAAATAAAACGAAGAAACGAAAAATCAAAAATTACCAGGAGATGGCGATGAAGGTTGAGAGTGAGGCAAAGAAGAAAAAGTGTAGGCCTCAGCCATTGGAATATATAGTCTGTTATTATTCAAATCTATGATGGCACAGTTAGGGGTGGTGGCCGGCGGGTGACGAGATGTCTGACAGCATATTGGTTTGTGGGATGGTGACGAAGACAAGGTTATTTTCGTCTTAAATTTACAAAATATGTTTAATTGCTATAAATTTATAGTTTAAGGGGTTAATTGTTAGAATTGGAATTGTCAGGTGGCTTTTTGAAAAAACTCTAGGTAGTGTTTGGTTCGGGAGAATTTTTTTTTTATTAGGGAAATGATTGGAAAGTGAGTTTGGTTGGAAAATGTAAAAAAAATTGTTTGGTTGACCAAAATATTACCAGGGAAATTTATTTAAATATGCAAAATCTATATTGGGGAGAAACTTTGCACCTGTTTTTTCATTTTTCACTTCTTCAGTTATTTCAAAATACCACATCTCAAGTGGTATTCTGTAACAGTGAATTTCATCCAAAAATCAACACAAAATTCATTTTTCCATCTATCCTATTTACCTAGTATTTTTTGAAAAAACCTGAACCAAACATGATATTTTCCAATATTCACTTACACTTTCCCATCAATCTCAAAATAAACCTTCAACCAAACACTACCTCATGGGTGTTTGGTAGCGGCTTTTAGTTTCTTTCCCCGGCAACTTGAAATGGATTTTGAATTTAAGTATGTTTGGTAAGAGAGTTAACAACATTTAGGTAGCAGAATCCTTTGCCCATGCATCGCGTTTTGTTTGCAAAATTTCTTTAAAAACACTGATTCAGAAACCCATATTGATGGTGATATTTTGGGTTTGGTGGGGGAAAAAAAAATCGAACGCAAGGTTGCTGACCAAGTTGTCCCTGTTGTTCCAGAAACATTGTTCCTCTTTAACCTTCCAAAACGGTAACATAAGAGGAACGATACACCTTCCAGTGCAACTTCAGTATCTACAAATATGTTTCCCCAAAAAAGTACTCATTTCCCACAGCATTGATATAAGCAAAACAAAATAAACAGGATTCAAACCAGAACACTCTCGTAATATCCAACCTTATTTTTATGAATTTGACTGAATCTTCACACCACTCGCTCACCTTGACGGAGCTATGGTGCCGAGTTTGAAACCAGACAAAGAGAAAGACGGAGATCTCTGAGTAATGGAACGTGAATGTTGGTAGATAACCCCAAATCTGATTGACTCACGATTATGTTTGGCTTCAGATTCATATATTTTACAAGGTTATTTTCGTCATTTCATCAATATTTTATCTTCAACCAAACATAGACTTTATAAAATTTATCTAATTTTTTCAGTAATTTTTTTTTCAACCAACAACTTTTTTTACATTTTCCTACCAAATTCACTTTTCAACTATTTTTCTAGTAATTATATTTTCCTAGTATTCAAAAATTTTCTCCTCAACCAAACGCCCATTAAGTTAAAGGTGGTTTGATGTAATTTAGCCTAAAATTTAACGTATTTATTTTACTATTTTAATTATACCTTCTCGACTTCTATTTTGAAAAGATAAAAAGTAAAAATGAATTTTCTGTTTACATTTTATTAGTATATTCTATTCACTATTATATTAATGTGCTTTTTACAATTTATTGCTAAATAGGGTATGATAAAAAATCAATTAATGAGACTGCCACTGTTATTTTTTGATTTTTTATATTGAATTTCCTGCAATTTTAATTTTTAACAATACATATGCCATTTTATTAATCAAAAATAAAATAATAGTAAGCATGTAAAAAATTTAATTAAATTTCCAAATAAAGAAACATATTAATTCACCCATGTATTCAGTAATCCCACTCAACAAAAAGAAAAAGTATGATGATGACAAAAATAAAAAAATAAAACCATAAATCGTTCAACAACATCATTGAAAATTTATTAAGAGATCCCGATTTTATTTACTTTATTACTACAATCGTAACCCACTTAATGATAACATGTCAAAAAAAGAAAAATATTTCATCAAAGCTCAGGTTGGACATAACTTGAATTTCCTAAAAAAAAAAAGTTTTCTATTCTCAAATGATCAATTTAATTATTAATAAATTGATGAGAAGGCTTTTATAGACAAGGACGAAATATACATACTAAATAACTTATAGTAACAATACAATTGATAATGGGCATTATTAATGACAAATCATGCCATCTCTCATCTTAAAAACCCTAAGAAAATCATCAAAATTTTGTATAATCACCAAACAACTTTTCGCTTTATTTTTTAAGTTAGATTTTTCAAATTTAACATAAAAATAACTTTTGGCTTACTAAAATGTGTCATACATGCTCTAAGAGAAAGAAAAAAGTTATTTTAATATGAAAATTAAGAAAACATGTCTCACAAAATTAAGAAAAAAAAAATGTGCCTAAAATAATTTTAAATCATACAGACCATATTTTTTTAAATGCATGTAATTTTATATTTTAGTTTAATTTTTATTACCATAAATAATCTTTTATCATATAGGCCATATTTTTTTTTAATTATATTTGTATATTTCGCTTATATTTAAAAATACATACGTAACTAATGCTGAATAAATTATAATTATTCATGTCATCCATGATTCATAAATTTAACATAACAAAAATAATTATAATCTGTTCTGTATTATTACGTATACTAAATGAAATGATAGTTATTTAAATTGAAGTGAAAATTAAACAATGAATAAGTGTTAATTAAATTTAATATTTAAACTAATTATAATAAATTCTGCAACAAAATATAGATAAATGGATACTCCAACTTTTGGTATAAAATTTAACATATTTATTTTACTAATATAATAATTGGGATTTATGAATATTATGTTACATGATTAAGCTTACATCATGCTACACTCTCAATGCAAGTGGACCCCACAAGTTTTTATCAAAAAACAAAAAATAAGAAAATGGTGGGGCCCACTTGCATTGTGCGTGTAACATGATGTAAGCTTCATCATGTAACATAATATTCATAAATCCCTTAATAATTATACCATCTCTACTTCAATTTTAAAAAGATGAAAAGTAAAAATGAATTTACTATTTAGATTTATTAATATATGCTATTCATCATTTTATTAAGTTTCTTTTTACAGTTTATTACTAAATAGGCTATGATATAATAAAAGCAATTAATGAGACTGCCATTGTTATTTTTACATTGAATTTCCTGCCATATAAGCATTATACACGTGGCGATTCCACAGTCTCTCAACCCATGAATAATTTGAATCAGAACAAAAGGTGTAATAGTTGATCAGCTAAATCTTTGTTTGCATACAAAACCAAAGTGTTAACATCCAATGCACTATAAATTGAATAGCCCTGTCAGTGTGTCTCATATTCACCTTTCAGGTTAGTTTGAGCCATGTCGAGTTTAATTAAGAGAAGCAATGGTCGCAGAAAGGTTGAGATGAAGAAGATGATGAACGAGAGCAACCTCCAAGTCACCTTCTCCAAACGCCGCATTGGGCTTTTCAAAAAAGCCAGCGAGCTTAGCACTCTTTGCGGAGCTGAGGTTGCTCTTATCATCTTCTCCCCTGGTGATAAGGTCTTCTCTTTTGGTCACCCCAATGTTAACGCTCTCATACATCGCTACCTTATGGGGGGCCCACCACAATCACTCGTGGAAGCTCACCGCAGTGCCAACGTGCGTGATCTCAACGCGCGTTTGACTGAGCTCACTAACCAACTCGATGCTGAGATGATGCGTGCTGAAGAGCTGAATCAACTGCTAAAGGCCAACGGTATCATCATCAAGCTTGTTGATGAGATGAGCATTCCGCAACTGGAACAGTTCAAGGTGGCGTTGGAAGAGCTGAAAAGGAGCGTCATCACCCGCCAATCTGAGATGAATCACATTCTTAATGCTGTTAATTACCCAGTGCCACCTGTTACGGTGCTCCAGAACTTTCTGCTGAACAATGCTCGTGAATTCGATGGCAACATGATGAATCGTTTTGGTTTTAACAACATGGGAGGATATGGTCCTGATGGGTTCTATTGATATATATATATATATATATATATATATATATATATATATATATATATATATCTGCTGATTATCATGATCATCTGGGGATGATGCTATATATATTCATTAATAAAAAAACCCTGTTGTTTAATTTCCCTAGAGACACCGGCTTAATTACTTTTGTGCCTTTTATCTCAATGTTGTTAAAATCGAGATCTTAAGTAGATTCAGAAGTAGATTAAAAAATCATAAAACATAAAAACGTAATGTAAAAAAATCGTAAAAAATTGTAAAAACATAAAAACGTTTGGAATATTAGTAAAATTATTTTGATGAAAAAAAATCGTAAAAATATAAAATCATAGTGATAAATCGAGATTTTAACAACAATGATCTTGAACCATCATGGTTGTGTTAAATTTGTTTCTTTTATGCAATTTTCGTTTATATGCTGTTTGAAATAATTATGTTTTTACGGTTTTACTTAAAGATTATGAGAGTAATTAAATATTTTGAATTTCAAAGAAACATAAGTTTATTTCATTATATCACCTCTCGTTCCATTAATTAATGCTTTTTCATTTCACTTTTTCATTTCATTTCATAATAGTGTCGGACAAATAATTTGAAACAAAATAAATTAAAACTTTTAAAGTGACATTTTTATTGAAACGTATGAAGTTTTTGTTCCTTTCCACACGAGCTTTTCTCCTCAAATATTGATTGTTTTTGGAGTTTGCCACTCAGTTAAGCCGCCTGTACGTGAAGTGCGTATTTACAATGCATTTTAACATAATATCTATATATGATGAACTGAAAAAAAATTCAATTATAAAGTTAAATATTCATGTGGAGATTACATTTATATTTTATTTTGAGAAAAAAAATCGTATACATGTCTTTAACAAAATAAAATGAATTTAATGAAATTTTAATCATTTAAATGGTGACTCATCAAATAAAAAACTAAAATAAAATGAGAGTGGATTCTTTTATATTTCTTTTTAACATTACCATGTTATATTTTAAATGTATATCGTTCATTGACAGATCCACGATGAGCAAATAAAATGATCATTTTCAAATTTTTTATTTTACAAGCTTTATTATTAAAATTATGAGGGTTAATATGCCAATTAATGAATGATTGAGATTTAACACATGATAGGATTTTGTTAAAACTAAACACGAGAAAAATCATTCACAACTACAATAGGAGGGATTTGGTTTCCTTTTAACATCTATCTATATATAACTAGAAGAGAGAGAAGTTATTAGAGGATAAAAATGACATGTGTCTGCTTTACACCCCCTAAATCAGTTTCATTCTCACACTTAAACTCTTGATAACAATGATAATGAGGGGAGAAAATGCCATGTGTCTCCTTTAGACCCAATGAACCAGATTTTTTTTACACTTAACCGGTTAATAACAATAATAATAATAAATTAATAAAAAAAATAGTATATATCCTTAATGAAAACTAAATAAAAATCATAAATTAAATAATTACAAGAAAAACTATATTTCAAATGAATATATATATATATATATATATATATAAAGGAGAGTTCACTGCTGGAAAGTTTTGCCAAGTGTCACTCCCTGGTTAATTCTACAATTTGGTTATATACAAATTTTATTTATTGGGTAAATTGGAAAAAAAAAACTCTTTTAAATTAATTTTTAAATCGAATAATAGTTGCAAACAAGGTATTGAATGTCCCACTGCCCATCACATTGGTATCCAAAAAAAATCAGCTGTTTTAATTGCTTTTTATGTTGGAATTGGTCATCTCATCTGAAATTCGAAATTTTAAATGGTTTATCAATTAAATTTTGAAATTATGTATTTATTTTGCACCATCTGAAATTCGAAATTTTAAATTCAATAAAAAGAAAACTCTTTTCACGGACATGCATTCACGATCTCTATTCATGGAGATCAATAGAAACAAAAACAAATTTCACAATTGTTGAAGACCTGATCGTCATTCAATTCACAATTTCGTTAAAATGTACTAATCTATGCATGTGTTTTGTAGGGTGGAAGGGTCCACACTGCTATCAAGGGTTCTTTAAATATCCGTAACAAAATTCACGAAGGAGAAGTTTATTTCATAAAAAATTTCTGAGTTGGTTTGAATAGTGGGAGTTTCAGGCCAACTAAGCATGATTATCGTTTGTCCTTCAACTTGAGGACTGATGTAAAATCCACTATTGATTCTGCTATTCCTACCAATGGATTTGATTTTGTAGATTTTGACGTTATAGAGAAAGAGTCTTCTGATTCCCCTTATTTAGTAGATTTGTAGATTTTGAACTGTCCACTAAGTCATGCTTTTGTTGTTTGTGTGACAATATCATCTGTCTAACCATCCTTAATGTGTAGACGTCATCGGTTTAGTTTCTGGAATAGGGGAATTTCGTGAGCATATTATCTCCGGTAGGAAGACAAAAATGGTTGTCGTGGAGCTTGATAACCTCATGTATCTATTGGTTATTTGTTATGTGTTATGTTCATTTGATGTAAAATTCTATTTTGTGATTTCAGATTATTATTTTTTGTTGTTGTTGAACTATATTTAGAAATTAATTGTTGAAGCTGTTCTTGAATATTTTTAATTTGTGTGATGTTATGTTGCATCTGTGTGGTGTTCAGTTATGGTGCATGATGTTTGAATTTGTTATAATCTAAATATTGGAATTTGTTGATGTTGTTGTAAAGCCATTTGATGCTTAACAATCATGTATTAGGCATTTTCGTTAAGGTTTAATTAATATAAATATAAAGGCTGCACTTAAACGATGTAAGATAAGATAAAATTTTAATCGTTGTCCAGTATTTAACGCTCCGCGTTTCAATTTATACATGATTTCAATATCAGAAGAAGTTAAAAGTTTTCAAGCTTTATCGATTTTTGTTGAAACTGAAAACAGAAATGATTTTTATTAAAATACAATTATTATGAATCTTGGGATTTTGTTGCATGGGAAAGGATTTGGAAACAAAAAATTAAATAAATAATAATTTCTTTTAAAAATTGAAATAAAAAATCAATGAAAAATTAAGTTAATCATTTATGGTGTAGACAACTCATTCAATGTCCCACTGATTTGTATATTGGATTTACTCAGCTCTTTTAAATGCTTTCTACATTGGAATTGTTCACTCTTTTGAAATTCGAATTCTGAATTGATTTCAAATTATGGATTTCAATTTTAAATTTCAAATTGTAATTGTGGGAAAGGATTTGGAAATAAAAAATTAAATAAATAATAATTTCTTTTAAAAATCGAAATAAAAAAAATCAATGGAAAATTAAGTTAATCATTTATGGTGGCAGACAACTCATTCAATGTCTCACTGATTTGTACATTGGAATTACTCAACTCTTTTAAATACTTTCTACATTGGAATTGCTAGCTCTTTTGAAATTTGAATTCTGAATTGATTTCAAATTTTGGATTTCAATTTTAAATTTCAAATTAGAATGGTGGGAAAGGATTTGGAAATAAAAAATTAAATAAATAATAATTTCTTTTAAAAATTGAAATAAAAAATCAATGAAAAATTAAGTTAATCATTTATGGTGGCAGACAACTCATTCAATGTCCCACTGATTTGTACATTTGAATTACTCGGCTCTTTTAAATGCTTTCTACATTGGAATTGCTCACTCTTTTGAAATTCAAATTTTGAATTGATTTCAGATTTTGGATTTCAATTTTAAAATGCTGACAGTTAGAGGTGGAAAACTGGGCTCGGCCCTCGCCAATATATTTTTATAATTCAATTAAAATTTTATCTTTCTTCTTTTATAATTAAATTATTAAACCTGCTTTCTAAAAAAAAAATTACTAAATCTGATTTCAATTTTTGTAAATACAAATTTGTGAAATTCCAAAGACTAACGACACTAATCCTTGCAAAAAAAATTGCAAGTATAAAATGCTGATAGTTAGAGGTGAAAAACTGGGCTCGGCCCAGAGGGCCGGCCCGCTAATATATTTTATAATTCAACTGAAATTTTATTATTCTTCTTTTATAATTATATTTCTAAATCTGATTTCAATTTTTGTAAATATAAATTTGTGAAATTCCAAAGACTAACGACACAAATCCTTGCAAAAAAAAATTATTTATTATTATTTTATAAATCTGATTGTAGTAAATGAAAGTTCATCTCCGAGATAAAATATAAAAACCTAGATGCATCTATAAAAATATTTTTTTATGGATAAATATAAAAACCTATGACATGCTGATAGTTATAGGTGGAAAACTGGACTCGGCCCGGAGAACCGACCCACAAACATATTTTTATAATTAAATTAAAATTTCATCCTTCTTTTTTTATAATTTTTTTTTTTTTGGTAAATATTCTTCTTTTGTAATTAAATTCCTAAATCTGATTTTAATTTTTGTAAATACAAATTTGTAAAATTCTAAATACTATTGACACAAATCCTTGCAAATAATAATTATTTATTATTATTTTTTAAATGTGATTGCAATAAATGAAAGTTTATTTCAAAGATTAGTGTAATTGCTTTGATTCTGTTCATATGCATTTGTTGCAATGTAAGCAAAAAATATAACTTATACATGCTTATTTGATTAAGTTTCATTCAAATCCCGTTCAGACAACATTTTTTTTTTGTCCATAAAAAAATTTAATCCAATCTTTTTATTTTGCTGATACTATGACTTTTGGGTGTTAACATATTAGTGTTACTTATTTAATGAGTTTTTTCCTTCTGTATCGTAGGCACAAGGAACGAAAATCACACAAGAAATGACATATTTAGTAAGTGTTGAACTCATCCCTCTAATAATTGCTACGAAATGACACTGAATGAATAGCGTTTTCATATTATAGGTAAAAGCTGATATTTTAAATCCATATTTGCTTGGTATTATCGTTGCCTTGATTTTGTTGATGAATGTTATAGTTAGCAATGATTTGTACGCATTTTTCTTTTTATATCCCTTTCTCATGTTAACATGGTGTATTATGATATAGTT